CGTACCTTATGAAGCATCGTAAATTTGGCACCCGGCACGGTCACGTTATTGTGTGGTACCTCGCTGTACTTTTCTGTCTGCTGCTGTTCCAACTCCCTCCTCTTCCCGCCCAAGACAAAGGCGCCAAGGCGAGCGGCCAGCTGAGATTTGAAAACGGGGTACAGCAAAAGGGCAGCTCTCCTTTGGGGTATGACGTAGCAGTCTCAAAACGGCATAACGGCTGTAAGCGGCGTCCTGTCCGCCTTCCTAAACGGTGCCTGCTAAGAAAAGAGGCAATCCTCAATGGAATAGAAAAGCAGACCACGATGCCAGAGCTGCCAAATTGCAGCTGGGCGCAGCAGAAGTGGAAATGCATAGCGCAAGGGAAAGGGGGGGCCCGTCGAGACGGTGATGGACAGGTACGAGTGTCAAACCACCGCTGCAAGTAGAACTATCGATAGCAGTAGCATGAATATCCATGCACACGCTATGGAGAACTAGACATACACGAAAAAGCTACACACCACACCCTTCATGTTGATTCTCTCCCTTTGGCAGGCCTCGTTCTGTAAGGCGTACGGAGTACAAGTCGAGTCCTGTCCCTTGTCTCGTGCGGAGTGTTCGGAGCGGTACGGAGTCCTTTCAATGCCATTGACAGCTCCAGACCACTGCCGTTTCTCCTTCTCCCGCCTCTTGCGTTCTAGACTTGTCCATCCATACCATTTCAGCGTCGTATGCCGGTTCCTGTGAGCACAGAACTTCGCCGACTCATCTCAGTCTTACACCGGGTGACGAGGCCAGCTGCCCACTGGGGTTTCCTGCAAGTAAAGACTAGATTCGCCCAAATACCCTCACGACCAGTCAAGAGTTGCCAGTTTTCGTGTGCCCCTGCTCGAGGGAGCCCCTCATGTGCCATCCACTAGGACTAAGGATGCATTGCTGAGATGACCCCAGCAGAGCTTCGGAGTGTGGCTAGCCTTTGCAAAGTGCTGTGGTCTCAGGTGTCACAGCATCCCTCCTACTGTATAGCAGAATTAAGTCTCCGAAGAGGCAGGGTCAGCAGTCAACGGAGCGAGTACATGTATGTAATGGTACCACGTTCAACTGCTGCATGATAACAGCTCAACATTTACAAAACCTCAAATTACGAAGTGATAGCAAGTCCCATAGTTCAAGAACGTCGTGCATAGCCTCATCTCTCTGGTAGCGGTAAGAGCGGGTAAAACGGGCAGCCGGGTCCATAGTCAATGTGTCAAAAATGCATCTTTTGCTGTCAATTAGACGCAGAACGAGAATATATTCCGACTCTCATTCCACGATTCATTGGTGCTACTACTGCTGCTGCTATTAGTCCTTTCCATTACTACTTATGGGAATTAGTATCAGCAAGGGGTGTGAAGCCGAGATTTTCTCTCAATTTGGTTTCCTGGTCTTCTGGCCCTGCTTCAACCTGGCCCCGATTCCCGAGTCACGCAATCTCTGTCGGGTCACGCAATCGCCAAAACACCTATTATCCCCACAACGTCTCATGAGGTCTAGGTACACGCGAGCAGCGATCCCAGCGGGATTGGGATACAAAATCCTGTCTTTAGGGGTTCCAGGCCCTCTGAAGATCCGAGGCCGCGAAAACCCGAGGCCTTGACTGCAACAAGCTGAGACTTCGGTGCATTTTTACTTTTCAGGATTTCGTAAGGCTGACCTTAGCTTCTCGAGGCATTGTCAGAGGTGATTACAAGCCGTCACCAACATCTTAATCATTCCCGCTGTGCAGGGCAAATTGATTGGTCTGTGGCCACTGGATCAGATCCATTGATGTTAGCGGACTTTATCGAAATAACGTGGCAGCACCAGCAAAGCAGCTGGCAACGACCACCGCCTGTCCACCACGTTCTTTGTTCACTCGACGCACAGAGCCACCTGGACTAACAGCAAGCACCCACGTATTCCCGCTGCGGCAGCGGTTAGATGGATCAATGTGCTTGGGGGAGAGGGGCCAAATAACGCACGCTGCTGCCCTGCCTTGTTGCTGACGGTTCTCTCCAGCAGGTAGTGTTAAGGTTAAGTGAAAGAAGCTACGTACAAAACTGGTTATACCGACCCTTTGTGGCAAAATTGTCGTGGCACTTGGCATCATGCCCATCAATACGAATTCTTAATACATGTACATCACCACGAGCATCACGCACGACCCATATACCGGTCTCCAGAAAACGGAGAAGTGGGGTGACTCCGGGCAACTGTGGCTCCATGAATTCCCCTCATCCGTGTTTTCTTCTGTTCGTAATGATTCCGGACACTCATTGGTAATTGCAGATATTAAACTCGTACAGAGTTTCGTATACCTATCATCATCTTTGCAATATACTCCCCTTTACTCCCAAGGAACTGATTACCAAGACAATACACCCTCAAGGCCCACAAAAGCTGTTGAAAATTCTAATTGAGGCTTCTAAAAATAAGAACGGCCTCCTTGCCTTGCATATCGTTATTAAACACGGAGCTCAAAATCCGATGATGTCTATCCCAATTGTCCATATCAACTGACATGCTCCTTTCATTGAGATCTGCCACACCGATCAGCGGAAATCCAGGCTGTGTCTGGGACAAACCGGTAGATCACCTGTAGCGGGCGATCATGGAGGATTTCGTATTGTGTCTGAGCATTACGGATCGGACCGAGTACATTGAATGCGCTTGTTTTCATTAGAATAGTCTAGACTGGTTTTCTAAAATCCAATCAAACGTTATTGGCTCCTGTTTTACTGATGTACCCTATACTTTGGGCTCATTTTGCTAATTGGGAAACGTATCCCTTCTAGTTTATTATAAGTCCCACCGTTGAATAATGACCATTGCGCTTCATCTTCAACAGCTGTAGCTTCCATTTAAGAGCGAACTCTCTGAGATTCATCACTCTTTATCACTCACATAATTGATTCCATTTCCACATACTACAATTCCAGATCTTTCACCCCCAAATACTTACACCAATATGATAAGATAGGCAAACCTCCCAATTCCATATGCCGCCAAACCCCGCCAGGGCGCGCCCTATTTACAAGTACACTCTTTCTTTGTCTTCCACACGCGTTGGCCCAAACACAGTACGCCGTATCTAATAGATAACGACCCCTTTCCCTAGTTTTGCCCCAGAAAAAAAAAAACCATTCAATTAAAGCCGTTTTGGCGCGAAAAGAACCAATTTTGCGGAGGCGCCAAATCCCCGCAATGTAAGAGCTTGTTGGCTCTACTTAGTCATCGCCCAATTGTATGAGGGTGATATGGAGAGGGGGGAAAGCTGAGGTGCGGTTTGTTAGAATAAGGGCGCGATAATTGGGTTTTTATAAGAACTGAAGTTACCAATTCTAAGCTTCTTTGTAAATACCTGTAAAAATCTTTAATACTACGGTAGACAAGACCGTACCCGTTGACAGCCAGTCTGAGATTCAACGTAAGTTGCCGTACAAACCTCTCCAATTCTCTATCAAGACACTAACATGAGAAATGCCTCAGACTCAATTTCACCTACAAAGAGTGTCAAGAGGAAATTAAAAGAGTAGACATTCAATCATGTCCCAATCCCCAGAAGACCGCCTCAAGGCCCGCAAGCCCGTTCCAACGCCCGTCCCGGCATATCTCCCAACTGCCGGATCTCCCTTGAGCGTCGACAAGGATCTCTACGCCGCCATTCAGCAGGCCCCGCGAGTGCTTGTTGAAGAATTCACCGTGCCTATTCGATCAGGCAGGGCTTGGGAGGCACCGGCCGGGTCGATTATTGAGATAAGCACGCCCGAAGGACCGCAGGTTGGTAAGTTGTGACATGTTGTTGCCCGTTGTTCTATATAGGCTTCCGCTCCGATATAGTTCATATAACTCCTCTATCGAAAGGGGCTACATACCCAGCTAACACAATCCAAAAGGCGACCTCAACATCTGGAACCGCCACAACCCCCGCGAACGCTTCTGGGCGTCACGAACCAGACAGCTTCACTCCACACACGTCACTACGCACGACCGCCTGTGGTCCAACCTCCCCTACATGCGGCCCCTCGTCACAATCATCTCCGACAGCCTCGCCTGGTACGGCAAGGACGAAAACGGCGGCCGCGTGCACGACCTGCTCGGCACACGCTGCGACCCGTACATCAACACCGTGCTGTCCGGATCGCAGTACGACTTCCACTGCCACTCCAACCTGAGTCGAGCCGTGGCCAAGTGGGGACTGAGAGAGGATGACGTCCACGATGTGTTGAACTTGTTCCAGGTTACAGGGTTGGATGACAAGGGGCGGTATTTCATGAGTCCCTGTCCGGCGGAGAAGGGCGACTCGATTGAGTTTCTGGCGGAGCAGGATGTGCTCATGGCGTTGAGTATGTTTTTGATATTCCACGTTTTTTTTAGTGCCATGACCCCATAGGAATGGATCCGAGACTTTTTGGAAGCAGGATATTGGGCTAACTGAATAATTTTTTCCCACAGGCACTTGTCCCGGCGGTGATCTCTCCCTCTGGGGCTTTGGAAGCGACAGCGAAAAGGAGATGATCAAGGTCTGTCGTCCCCTGCACGTCAAAGTGTATCAGCTCCAGGACAAGGAGCTCTTGCAAAAGAGCGGGTGGAAGCCTGCGGAGACTGCGGGATATAAGGGTATGCATGGAGTGTTCTCTCCGGAGGGGGAGGCCGCTCAGCGAAAGTAAGACGAGTTCCGGACAGGCATGACCCAGAGTATATAGATAGCTGCTCTTCTTTCGTCTACTAGCACTAGAATAGCATGAAATGTTGAGCAGGAGGATAGAATTACTCGTCTCTTACTAGATGGTATTGTATGATGCATTTCATTATTCGTCTGGCGCATATCCAAAGATGGTGATAGAGCGAAGGAAGCTGGGGGTTAATACCCGAATAATGGTAGAATTCAACTATCCTTACAACTCCAATTCCGTTACTGCCATTCTGTTCTATAAAACAAAACCGAGGTCGCGCGGCATCCCCCTTTTTTGTGTGTATTGAAAGACGCGACCCAATTACTTCCATAGCTTGCCCAGGGAAACCTCCTTATCATCATGCTTGTTGAGAATCTTGGCCGTCGCCAGCTCAAAGTCCTCCTGTGTGACGTGCACTCTCCTCTCACGGAGGGCGTACATGCCCGCTTCTGTGCACACACCCTTCAGCTCGGCTCCAGAGCAGCCATTCATCTTCTCTGCAATCTTGGTGAGGTTGATGCCTCTGGTCAAGTTCATCTTTCGGCTGTGGATTCGGAGAATGTCGGCTCGTGCCTCGATGCTAGGCGGGGGGAATTCAATCTTGCGGTCGATACGGCCGGGTCGCAGCAGAGCGGGGTCGAGAATGTCGAGACGGTTCGTGGCCATAATGACCTTGATGTTCTTGGTTGGTTCGAAGCCATCCAGCTGATTGAGCAGCTCCAACATGGTTCGCTGGACTTCGGAGTCACCACCCGATGAGCCCTCCACTCGAGAGGAACCAATGCTGTCGATTTCGTCCATGAAGATGATTGAGGGGGCATGCTCTCGGGCCATGATGAAGAGCTCTCGGACCATTCGGCTACCCTCACCAATGTATTTCTGCACCAATTCTGAACCAGAGACTCTGATAAACTTGCAAGCTGTGTGGTGGGCTACAGCTCTGGCCAGCAGAGTCTTTCCTGTACCTGGGGGTCCGTACAGCAGGACACCCTTGGGCTGAGCAATGCCCAGAGACTCGAACAGCTCCGGGTGCTTCAAACCCAGCTCTATAACCTCTTTGATCTCTTTGATCTGCTGATCCAATCCACCAATCATGTCGTATGTGCTGTCGGGGACCTTTTCTACCATCATGAGCGATACTAGGGGATCGACCGATGACGGCAGCATCTTCTCCAATTTGTAGCTGTCTGACAGCAGTGTGACTCTCTTTCCGGGGGTAAGCTTGGCGATTTCGACATTATCGGAGACATCGACGACTAGTGTGATGATAGTCAGTAGCTGCGGGCAGGTAAATATCTTATGGAGGTGGTGATGGTGATGACCAACCATATTTGCCTTCAGGATGTACTTTAACGAGAACCTTCTTGGTGCTCATCACCTTGACGACCTCTCCAACGTAGGATCCGGGCTGTTGTAGCAGGCCCAGCTCTTCTCTCAGTAACCGCACACGGGAATTGTAGTCATTGCGTTGGGCCTCGAGACGGCGGAGAGCAGCTTGACCCTTGAGGATCTCTAGCTTCATCGCCTCGATCTTGTTGCGGTAGTACTCGTCGAGCGCCATCTTGGGCGAGCTCTCAGTGGGGCTGCAAAGGGAGGAGAAGAGAGAGTCGGTAGTGGTGATTTGGGGGGATCTGCTGCGGCCGTGGTATGCGTCGTCAAGAGAATTATCGTATGAAATGCGGAATGGTAGGGCGTTGCGGCTTAGTGTACAGACGAATTGGGGCCAAGGTTGAAGCTGCGCAAGGCTACAGCTGGTGCTCGTAAGCCAGGCCAGCAGGGCGGGCTGTCGTTGGGCAGCGGAACATCCATCTGCCGGGCTCCGCTCAGTCTGAGCTGAGCTGAGTACTACTAGTACGGAGAAGGGCTGGCCTTGTCTAGCACCGTCCTACTTGTAATAATGAAGCTTGCGCACCCAATAAAAAGCTGGAGAATGCCAAAAGCGAGACTAGCTGAGTGAAGCATGCACGTCAAAAGCTACACCGTTTTAGTCTCAAGCCCAAGCGTCAGTGTCCATATCACGGTCCCATTCGCAATGCTATTGCAAGTGTTTTGCGATTGTAGATCCCACTCGAAGCCACTCTCTACCAAGATATTTACTATACGCCGCTACCAAAGTTCACCAAAACCTGCAAACAACTTTGCGCGCATAATGAATCTCCATCCTCGTAGTATCCATTAGGTAGCAACCGGCGCCTTTTTCTAATCATCTCGTCCATCGTGCCACCGCCAAAGATAAGCACAATGACGTTGTCCACAGCCGCCAAGAGCAGGCCTTGCAGGTCACGAACTCGGAACTGATGATCATGCCAGGCGATAGGTCAAAAATGCCGTGAGCGCGGCCCGCCAGACGGTGAAGCGGCCCAAGGATGCCCTGTTTTTTCTTTGTTTTTGTTTTGCATTTTTATTCTCTTCCCTGGTCTTTGTTTTCTCAGGCCTTTCATTGTGACGGAGCAAGGGAGACGCCTGACGCATCTGCTGCATGCCATTTGATGCAAATAGCGGGCTGCGCGTGCTAGTTAGTGTGTCATCCTGCAGAAGCTCAGCACAGCTCCTCCGCAAGTAGCACGGCTGAGGGAGTAAAGGGACGCATTCGAGCTCGTCCAAGCCTTGGGCACCAGCGATAAATAAGATAGGCATACAAGATATAGAAGATATACAAGCGATCCGGGCCTATTGCTCGGTAGGCGCTGAGAAGCGTCTTTTAGAGTTCCACCGCTGGGTCGGTCTGGCAAGAGGTGGCCGGACCTCAGCTTATAGCTCCAGGCCTCATTAGCGCTCTGCTTCTGCTTCTGCTTCCACCACTTTCTCTCAACATCACCACCACCAAATCTTCGTCGACTCTTCCACGTCTTCCCTCCGCAACGTGTCTTTTCCCCATGTCTCTGATGCTGCAAATCCAAGCCACCATCATCGACACACACTCTCCCTGATCCCGTGTTCAGAACCCCTCCACTCTGCTAGAGCTCACTAGCCCGATCTATCCAGGCCGCTGGACGACAGGGATACCCTCGACGTCGGACGTTATCTCAGCCTTTTTTTTCCCTTTCTTATTATAGGCCTGCCTAGCTCTCATCCAGCAGGCGTGCGAAGCTCATCCTCAACTCTGTCGCGGCATCGTCGCTGCTTGCTTCGACCGCCATGGATCCTTCGCAGCAGGACAACGCACCTCCAGCGCATCGCGCCGGCACGTCCTCTGGCATGATGTCACCCACAGATACACGAACGAACCCGCTGTCCAGACATTCGTCCATTATTGGCGAGAACGTGCCAGAAAACTATCACTCGACAGACACCGTACGGCGGCGACCCGAGGGATATGGTAGGACAAGCGATACTGTCATACCCAAACTAGATTCAGATGTTGTAGATGCTAACCCGTCAAAGGAACCATCCAGGGGTCGTCGAGCATCCGAAGCAGTCAAACAATAGGCGAGCCGTCCATCGATCGCCCACAGGCAGCGCGAAACATTTCAGCAGCTCCTGGCCGTTCTACGTCTGCTGCAGGTCCCGAAAGGAGTCAGTCTTACGCCCGCCAGCGAAAGCCGCCACTGTCGCGACGCACATCAACCAATACACCACACAAAGGCGCAGTGTTTTCCGTAGATGACGACGCCTACGAAGTCCAGGCAGACGCCGCCGAGCGCCGCGCTGGCTTATCGACGCGCCGACGCCAGCCACCTCCCTTGGGACTCACTCGCATACAGTCGTTTCGCAGCGCTGAAGAGGAGCAGGAATCCGAACAAGACGACGAACATAGTGAAGCGGGAGAAGAACTTGAAGAGGAGGAAGAGCTACCGTTGGACGAGCATGTTGATTGCGAATCCGAAGGTGAAATTAGCGAAGCCGAAAGCTTCACCCTCAAAGACAGACAGCAGGCCATTAACCAAACGCACCCGTTTGGTATTCGAGTTTGGAAGCCTGCGTTGTACAAGAAAGACCGATCGATCCAAAAGTTTGCTCAGGCAGATATTCATTCAACGCCTGGCGGTAGAGTAAGCAACTGGCTGCTCCTTTTCAACTTGGCCTGGACCATCTTTTTTGGATGGTGGATAGCCTGCCTGGCAGCTTTTGGCGCAATCATTTGCCTTTTGTTTGCGGCTGCGCCCAGCGGCAGAGAGTATGGGAGAGTCCTGTGGGGGCTAGCAGGCTATATATTTTACCCCTTTGGCAAGTTTATTCGGCTTGAAAAGGACGAGGCCTACATGGACGAGGATCAGGATGAAGGTAGAAGCATCTCAGAGTATGAGCAATGGCAGAATGGCGATCTCGAATACGGCCGGCTATTCTTTGGGCCTGACCGACACCGTTCCATCATCGGCCGCTCCAGGAGGAGCTTGGACTCGGAGGCGCCTAGCGAGACGGAGAGCTTACTGGGACGAGGACGCCGCCAGGACTCTAGCGATCTACATCCTCGCTTGAAGCGGAGGCTGTTTGGCCGTGGAGAATGGAATATTGGCCGCATCATCTTCTTCGTCTTCTTCTACTGCCTCATCTCACCCTCCTTGATCCTCGTGTCTGGCATCTGCTGGTTCCTCGTCTTTTGGATCCCCATGGGCAAGGTGACCATGCTGCTATTTGACCACCTCAGACGGCATCCTCTCGCTCTATCCTTTGAGTCTCACATCAGCTACGCTCGGGTAGACGATGCTCCTGACTCATCCATCCTCGTCTGCACCTATCGAGCTGTTGGATCAAAGTACTGGAAGTATACCGTCGATGGCACCAACATCTTCCTGATCAACCTCATGGTCGTTGTTGTGTTTGTCATCGCCGACTGGCTCATTCTGGATCGAATCCTAGGAGTAGAGATTCTCATCACGTCGCCTGCCTTTTTGTTTGCTGCGGGCTTGCTCTCCATTATTCCACTGGCATACTTTATTGGCCAAGCTGTGGCATCCATCTCTGCTCAGTCCTCCATGGGCTTGGGTGCTGCTATCAACGCCTTCTTTGCCACCGTCGTCGAGGTCTTCCTCTACTGCGTTGCACTGAATCAGGGCAAAGGTCAACTTGTCGAAGGAAGCATTGTGGGAAGTATATTTGCCGGTATCCTGTTCTTGCCGGGCATCTCCATGTGCTTTGGAGCCCTGAAGCGAAAGACTCAGCGATTCAACGCCAAATCGGCCGGTGTAACATCTACCATGCTGCTCTTTGCCGTGGTGGGCGCTTTTGGCCCGACGCTATTCTACCAAATATACGGCTCCCATGAGCTCAACTGCATGGACTGCGAAGATTACGCCTATGGCGGCTTCAACGAAGAAGGTGCTGCAAGGGACTGCCGTCGGTGCTACTTTTCGCAAGTGCCTGCTCTAGACGACCGATTTTATCTCGAGGCCGTGCGACCATACTGCTACGCGGCAGCCTTCTTGCTCTTTTTCTCATACCTCATTGGACTCTGGTTTACGCTGCGTACTCACGCTGCCGTCATCTGGAATGCAGAGGTGGAAGAAAAGAGACATGAAGAGGCCATGCACGCGTCGACGACTCTTCGTCCCCCGCATCAACCATCCACGGCCGACGGCACCGGGGTAGATATCCGCGATTCGCATCTCTACAAGCGCATCTTGGGCCAGTCTCTAAAGCAGGTCGGCTTACCGGACAGCTCCCGGCCGGGCTCCATGGCTGGCCAGGATGTTGGTGGGCAAAACCTCACTCCTCACGTGGTGCCGCCCAAGGGTGCTGCTGATGAGGATCAACCGCCCTTGCGCCCCACGATCAAGGTTCCCGGTCTCAGCCAGGTCGACAACAGCGTTCTCGTACGTGAGGTTGCCGAGATCGCAGCCACAGCGGCCACAATTGCTTCCCGTGACCGATATGTGCATAAGGCGTCTAGCACCGGCGTTGCTACACCGCGGCCGCACGGCGCCAGCCGGCCAAGCCACCTCCATGATGTTGAAGAGGACGCGGCTACCGCGGGGGCCGCAACTGCTCACCCAGGGGGCCACGGAGGCCACGACGCGCCAAACTGGAGCCGCACCAAGAGTACTGTGATCCTGCTGGGGGCCACCATCTTGTATGCCATAATTGCCGAGATTCTGGTCGACACTGTCGACGTCGTGCTGGAAAGCTTTGCCATTGACCAAAAATTCCTCGGACTGACCCTCTTTGCTCTAGTCCCCAATACTACCGAGTTCTTGGTAAGCACAAAGCGGATCATTCCCATCCAATCCTCTGAACCCGTGCCCACGTTGCTTTTTTCTGTCTGGGCTGGGCTGACGCTAATTGAATTTGTCTAGAACGCCATTTCTTTCGCCATGAATGGAAACATTGCATTATCAATGGAGATTGGCTCCGCATATGCTCTCCAAGTGTGCCTGCTTCAAATCCCTTGCCTAGTTCTCTTCTCGGCTGTCTTCCCAAACATCCCCGTAGGAGGAGATGCTGCCAAGTACACGTTTTCTTTGCTCTTCCCGCAGTGGGACTTGGTCACCGTCGTTTTGTGCGTATTCCTGCTCAGCTACGTGTACGGCGAAGGCAAGAGCAACTACTTCAAGGGCAGCATCCTCATGTTGACATACCTTGTGGTGGTGATTGGGTACTACTTCAGCGGCTACACCGAGGGGTCTATGGGGCTGCAGCGGTTCGACGTGATGGGTGCCGATGGCAAGTACCAGAAGTTTAAGACGATTGGCAGATCAACAAACGGGAGGGCGTTCCAAGTGATTTAAGCCAAGCCTGCGGAGAGCTGCAGCAACAATTTTTCATCTCGTTGGTTTGGCAAAAATATCCGCCAGGGTCGAATAATAGGCTGCATTCATCGGCTAGCCTTGTTCGTCCGTGTTTCTTTGGCTTTTGCTTTCCTCTTTTCTCTTTGCCCTAACCAGCTTTTGGGAAAGTGGGTGGTCCATCTTGCAGCGTGGGTTACCTGCATGCTTTTCTTCTTCTTTCCCCTTCAAGGCAAACTGCCTGGGGTATTTGTCTTGTTTTTGTAGAGCCGGCATGTTCCTTTGAGCGAATCGGGTGCATTTTCTTTGCTTCATTTTCTTTACTCGTCTTTCTTTTGTCATCACCACTACCTATCTCATACCTATAGCATGGCTTATCGAAATTGTTTCACGGGATGGCAGGCTGCGCGGCAGTTGCATGCATTTGTGTAATATTACCTTACTTAGGCTGAGTCTCATTTTCATGGCTGTTTCCTTTATATTCCTTTTCTGTCTTTAGTTTTACGCGGCGAGCCTGATGTGGTATGAAGTCGACAGATGCATCTCTATGAAGTCCGGAAATCTCTTGTCTTGTTAATTGTTGTCCTATTGTGTGATTCCCGGTATATCAGATACTACCACCATGACCATCATGACTGTCAAAAATGTGAATTAATATAAATCCCTGCATGAGCCGCGTGACCATATGCATCTTTCACTCTCATTCTCACTCATTCTCTCTTGAAACATGCGCCTGGTCCATCCGGAACACGACGGCAAGCTTCTCCAAATCCAAAAGGGAAAGCCAGCCGCCCAAAGATAGCAGCGATGTTTCTAGGTTCTAGATCTTTCTCCACCATCAACGGTGTCAACTATACGCACACAACATGAAGTTTCCAGTTTTTTCCACTAACGCGGGAGTCGACGTTTAGCTCCCGGAGACGCCAAAAAAAAAGAAAAGGGTCTTGGCTTTGCCCGAATAGGAAGCGCTGTGCATATCTTGCATGAGGACCCTGGATTTGGGGGGTGGTAGGGGGCGCGGCGATTTCATTGGAGAAGAGTGAAAACGATGCTGCTCTAATACTCGGTATCAGCAAATGGGCTTTACCTTTGCTAATAGCTTATGCTAGTGAGTGAGCTGGCGGTCTGTTAGTGCAGCTTGAATTAAGTAGTGTTTGCTTAGTAAAAGAGAGTAGAAATCTATATATGTAGATGGAGAGAGAAAAAACACGTGAGAGCAACGGAGTAGAAAGATACCTGGGCAGGCATGTACTTGTAGGTGCACGTAGGGCTATAAGATGGTTTTACCGCAAGTTCGCCCAGCCCCATAATTCGTGCGTCCGGCATCGCGATGGGGCGATATGTCGTTTTTGCGGTGGTGGTAGCAGTTTGTAGTTTGGAAGGGGGAAAAAGGGACAAGGGGGTTGGGGTGGGAAGGATAGCTCAGCTGACTATCTTGAGATTTTTTCCAAATCTTTTTGATCCCTTCCCTTTTTTTTTCTGCTGTTGATACTTCGTGATGCTACTAGGTGGATGGAGGATGGGCTGCTGGAGTTTCCTTTTCCGGATGTGAGGAATTTGTACATACCGATGGGGGGCTGTGGATTTTTTTGGTGTTTGGGCTTGGACCCTGGCCTTTTTAACGCCTTTTTTGGTGCTCTGGTTTGTCAGGTAGCACTTACTAGTGATAGATGCTAGTAGGAAGAAAGGTCATGTCAAAGTTTAGATCCTTGCTTGATATTACTCGATAATTACTACTGAGTGTAGTAGCGATAATCAGTAGTAGTAGTAAATGTTATTCCGTCAAAAAGGAAGAAGAAAATGATTCGTAATAGACACACCGGATGTTACTGCCCCCTGTTCCGATATATGCACATACTTTGTACGGGCAATGGGTAAAAGTGCCGAAGCCAGGGGGAAATAAGAGAGAGAGTGTGTGACATCTGACAAGCCGGAGCTAGGATGAACGATTAAAGTTTTTTTTTCTTCATCTTTTTTTTGTGGTTCATGGGTATGACCGCCGGGTCATGCTCCGTATGAGCTCCGTGCGATATTGCTGCTAGCAGGTATCGTGTAGTGGATTTTGGGGGGAGGCTGGGTATATAAAGCTAGAGAGATGGAATGAGATTTGGAAGGGGGCGAGAGTGAGCGTGATTGTGTATCTGTCTGTCTTGTCTTGTTCTTTTCCTGTCTTTCTTCTGCTTTTTGAGTCCAAGTGAAGACGGTCACCGGGAGTTTTCTGTTTGACAGCTTCATCTTCTCTCTTCGGTGCAATTCCTGTCTTTGTATATCAGTATTTTATATCACAACGTCGGTTTTCACATACAGACAGACAGACAGACAGACAGACAGACAGACAGATATACATCACCTCGTTAGCAAATCTAGTTACTGGCCCCCGCCGAGTGCAGCTCAATGCCTGCAGTCGAGCCCATCTTCACCGAAATCTCCGCCTCGACGTCGCCTACAGTCACGTCGCCGTCCTCGCCAACGCCCACGGTCACGTCTCCAAGCGACCAGAATCTCACTTCTCTGGCGGGTTTCGACAAAAGCAGTGAGAATGAGAAGAAGCGTGCAAGTGATACTACTGCGGTAGTTGAGATCCGTCCAGACGATGATCTGGAGGCTCAGCGTGAGAGCGTGAGCCAGAGTCAAGACGAGCTGAGCCTTTCAATTCCGGCGCCTGATACGAGCAGAGATGCGTGGCTGTTCCTGGCGGCGTGTTTTATGATGGAGGCCATGGTATGGGGTAAGTTGATGTTAAAATCCTGATTTGTGTAAGTGTATATAACTGATCGAGTAATGGCCAGGCTTCCCATTTGCTTTTGGCATCTTTCAAGACTACTACCGCACTCATGAACCGTTTGAGGGCTCTTCCAATACGGCCATTATAGGAACCTGTGCCACGGTAAGCATTGACAACTACACTCATTTACAAGTAGATGAACTGACTCCTCCACCAGGGCATCATGTATCTCGACGCCCCCCTGGTCATCGCCCTCGCCCGCCTCTATCCCAAGCAGGGCCGCTTCAATCCCACCGTCGGCCTGCTCATGATGTGCGCTGCCCTCGCGCTCTCCTCCTTTGCCACAAATACGACGCACCTCATCCTCACGCAGGGCGCGCTGTACGGCATCGGCGGCTCCATCGCGTACAATCCATGTCTGATATACGTCGACGAGTGGTTCGACCGCCGCAAAGGCCTGGCTTACGGCTTGATGTGGTCCGGCACCGGCCTTGGGGGCTTCACGATTCCGCTGGTGCTCGAGGCTCTGCTCAACCGCTATGGCTTCCGGGCTACGCTGCGGATATGGGCTGTGGCTCTCTTCGTCTTGACAATGCCGCTGGTATACTTTGTGAAGCCGCGTCTGCCGCCGTCCATGACTGCGCACATCAAGCCCCTAGATTGGAGCTTCATGAGGACTCGCGTCTTTGCGATATACCAGCTGGGCAACGTCATCGAGGGCATAGGTTTCTTCCTGCCGGGCATTTTCCTACCAACATATGCGCAGGATGTTCTCGGCGCGGGCTCTTTTGCCTCTGCAGCTACGCTGCTGGTGCTCAATATCGGATCAGTGGTTGGGCCTGTCACGATGGGGACGTTGGTCGATAGGCTGCATGTTACAACCTGCATTCTAATATCAACCGTAGGAGCTGTTTTCGGTGTCCTTCTTCTATGGGGCTTGGGGTCAAATATTGGCATTCTATACGTCTTTAGTATTGTTTACGGCCTCTTTGCCGGCTCATTCACAACTTCATGGCCAGGCATAATGAGGCACGTCGTCAAGGTGGCCACCGAAAGAGACAAGGCAGCCTCCGCTGGAGACATCGACGGCGTCAGCGTGAGTAAGTACGATCCGCTCATGGTAATTGGGTTCCTCTCAATTGGAAGAGGCGTGGGAAACATTGTGTCGGGCCCGCTGAGCGAGGCTCTGATTAAAGGTATGCCGTGGCAGGGCCAGGTTACCGGGGGCTATGGAAGCGGTTATGGCGTTTTGATTGTGTTTACGGGAGCTACGGCGTTGGTGGGATGTGTGAGCTTTGTTGCGAAAAAGTTGGGATGGATGAATTAGATAGATTGTACTATGAGTTTTAACCATTGGCTTATATACAACGGAAACGGGTATCGGTGTTGCTACTCAAAATGACATTTGAATCTTGTTCGCATGAATATTGTAAACTACCTAACAAACGATGGAGAACTCATCTACTTCTACTACTGGCTATTTTCCTATGATGGCATTTTTGTTAAGATTCATGGATGTATAGCTAGTAAAGAGTAAATGAGGCGGCTAGCCCAGCCGAGTCCACCAAGCTGCTACAAAGAAGCACACGATAAAGATTTACAGGGCAATTCTTATTAAGAAACAATCTAGAAATGACCCTAATCTGAAGGTTTGCGCCGACAAGAGCGAGCGAGACTGAACCTCTGTCACGGGCATAGCCTCCAGCGTCTCTCCTAATTGGCATGTCGACAACAGCAAACTCGCATACTCAGTCCAAATTGCAGTAACGGCTCATCAGTCTCACACCTGTATGAGACGACGTGGTCATTAAACTCATGGTGCTGGGTAGTGAGCGAGCGTGCCAGCTCCGGGATAGGCAGATACGAAAGAAGAGCCGGCACAGTTGACCTCCCTTGACGTGTATAAGCCAGCTGTTCTTTCTGTTTGTTCTTCCTTTGACGACTAAAAACCGACATTTATGGCTGTCTAGGAGAAATGGGAATGGGGCAAACTGATTTGAAGAAATAGCATGCTCTGGCGTCAATGTTGGATTTCTCTGCGGATATGGCATTATTGTATTGTTTTTTTCAGGCACGTTTTTTTTTCATGGACGGTTAGTGAATCATTGAGTGCGCCAATTTTTCTAGCACAATAGACAATAATGTTATAAAACATACGGCATTCGCCTAGGATGACCGAAAGAGTGGTGCAAGATCCTTCAAAATGGGTATCCTTGCACACATAAATGCTTGGGTAGTCAGCCCACGCGGTAGTGGCAAGTCCGGTCATGGCGATGACAAGAGCAAAGAATTGCATGGTGTGTGCAAGCTCACTGAAACAGCTGGCATATGCCCGCTCCAGCTATTACTACTGGTGAATATCCTGGAGGTTTATCTCGGCTGCGAGAGACAGCCTGAGATCATATTGCTGTTCTTTTTCTTATCTTCATTTTTGCAGAAGAAGAAGAGAGAAAGATGCAGATGGAGTTTGTAGGAAAAGCCACGAAGACAGGTGGATAGTGAATTTTCTCAAGTGGTTGGGGTGAATGTAGCCCACAAGTCCCTGCTCGGCCACATTAAGCTGGCGATATATATATATATATATATTTATGCTCCATGTTGTATCTCCTATAACTGTTCAAACAGTCACTTGAATCGACATTTGTTCCCTTTCTACAAGAATACCAAGTAGATTACTCAACAAACGACAGTTCCGTCACTTCTATTATATATACCGCCCTCTGCTACCCCGCCCACCTGGCAAATTCTCATGTACGGCAACTTTTCCTTATCCAGCGTCTCTCTTCGGTGAAAAGCGCAGGTATTTTTTGAGCAAGCCATTCGTGGCTGATGCCTGTCCTAGCAAGCATTCTCTTTTTTCCATAACTGCCGCTCTGTATTAGTTTAGCACCCTTGGCAAGAAGCAGCTCGACAATAGCCAAATCACCCTTAAGTTCATATCGGTCCACCCGATACACCCGTCTAGAGGCTTCATTTCGCGTCACTGCCTTGAACAGCAGCTTGCTACCAAATCTTCCATTCAATTTCGGTCGAGGGCCTTCTTCAAAAACTAGCCTAAAGGCCTCAAAATCCGAACAGTTTATTGCAGCCCTAAGTATCGTATTCTTCAGGAGGTAGACTCTTGGCTTCGACCCAGTAACCGTCTTGAGAAAGTCCTGGATCATGGCCTTGTTGTCATCATATACAGCATAATCAACCGGCGTCAAGCGGTTAGTGTCTGCCTTGGCAAAATCAGCACCCCTTTCAAGAAGTAACCGGACTACAGCTGTGTGGCCTCGATATGCCGCTTGCAGGATAGCCGTCTGAGACCATTTATCATATGCGTTGGGATCGGCGCCAAGGTCTAAAAGTAACCGGACTCCATCCACATCACCCCAAAGTGCTGCCCTATGCAGCGGTTTCCTCCCATATCGATCCTTGGCGCCAATGTCCGCGCCCATGTCAAGAAGTAGCATGATAGCATCACTCTGCTTATTGTATAGAGCGCTGTAAAGGGCACTGTCAAGATCATCAACCCTGAAAGAAGTATTTAGGATGCTTGGAAGCCTATACATCAAATCTACAGCCCCGAAAAAAGCGGCAAGTTCTAGCGCTGTCACGAGCGTGATATCCATGACGTTCCAATTGTTGGCCTGAAACAGTTGCATGTAGCACACGGTCTGAGCTGCAGTCCTAACACTCCACTTATCTGCGAGGAAAACATGAATGAAATGACTAGAAGAGTCAGCTCCACGCGCATGATAACCCCAGTTCGCACATGCGTAGCCGAAAAAGGGGTCCAGTTGCAGCTTTTTCTCAATCCTAGGGTAGTTTTCCCTCTCATTTTCATATGAGTAGAACTCATCAACTGTGATGTATAGTGTGCAGACATTTGCAATTTTGGTTTCTGCTTCAGGGAACCACTGTCGTCGCATTCGATCAAAATATTCTTGTGTCGTGTAATGTACTAATCGTATGACTTGGCTCTCTTCGTCGACGGTGACCAATCCATGGCAACTCGAGACTATCAGATCAATGTCCGGGATACTGTCAGCATGAAATTTTTCTGGAATCCGGCCACGGCCACTGTCCACCTCCATATTCACTGCGAGGGCGTGCTGAAGCTCTACTGTTTTAAGCTGTCTCTTCGCATGGGAAAGCCAAGATAAAGCATTTGTCGCCAGATGACAGAAACCTGGTTTCTGCTCCTTGATTCTCTTCATTGTATCATCGTAAATAGCTTTTAATACTTCACGTTTTTGGTCTTTCGCATTTCCCAGGCTTATTCGCTGGAATTTCCTCAATGCTTGCTTCATCTCTTTCGGCGTGACCTTATCCTCCAAAGTGCCGAGATAGAGCTGTGCTAGCAGGAACCTGGGCCATTGTGAGCGCATGTTTACGAACATCCCCATAACAAGCCGAATACTAACATTCCTTGAGCGATTTTAGTAATTCCAGCCTTTAGTTGCTCCTTTAGAATGATATTTTTGTGAACAAATTTTGGAAGCATCGACATGTGACCATCGACATACTTGTATATGTCCTCTGGGCTAGCCACGACATCTAACGTAATGCATCCCCGGAACAAGTTTTTGATTTCTAAAATCGGTCGTGAAGTTGCAAAAATATTAACGCTGATTTCTGCCTGAACTTTGAAGAGTTCGGAGAGAAATAGAGGTCGCTCTTGGACTCGGGATTCATCCAATGCATCGATTATGATGAGGACTCGAGAAAAGGTTCTGGCAACAACTTGTAGAGCGCTTGCAATTTCTTCCAAGGATGGCTGAGTCTTCCTGTAACTATGCTTATCATAGAGAGATTGCACAACTTCGGGCAGTGACGATTGAGAGAAACACAGCTGCCTCAGGAGACTTGCCATAAGTTTATCAGCGGTTTGTTGGTCTTGGCTCTTGAAGTTATAGTAATTATACGCAATGCCGACTGTCGGGTCTTTGTTAAAACGGGTGTGGAGATCTTCAACCACAATAGCGGTCAGAATAGTCTTTCCAGCACCGGGTATCCCAGGGCAAAACAACGTTTGCTTCTTCGCCGATAGCCAGTTCTGATATTCCTTTGATTCCAAGAGCCACTGTCCTGTGCCCTGTTGGCGTCTGGAGAGATAGTCATTATGCTGGCTACTGTAATTGGAGTCTGCAAGCCAGTCCAAGATTTTGAGGTCCTCCTCCGAATTCATTCGGGATCTGATATCTTCAACGTTTGTCTCAATATTGGTTACAGCGTCTCTAACTATCATGCTATTAGGACCAGGTTCACCCTAAGTTTTCAGATATGGGGGTGGGCAACCTTGCGTAAGGACCTCGCTAAGTCTCCGTTCTGCTTCAATCTTGCCTGGAAGAATTATACCGAGGAGGTCTTTTGCATATGCAGCAGCTGCCATTGCCGCGAAGCCTTGCCACTCCTTACTCTTATGGGAGTCAGAGTAATCGCATATTCCGCGTATCACCAAGCAAGGAAAATTGTTCATCAGTCCTGCTGCTTCCATCTCGAAGCACAAGACATCTTTTTCAGCAGAAAGTTTATCTCTAATATGGGCATCTTTCATGACTTGATTCGCAGAAGCAACAAGGCCATAGTGCACTGCAGGGTCATCGTCATGTTCAGTACGTTCGCAACGTGCGACCAAGTTGGATTTGTTCTTTGCACATACTGCTGCGCAGCCTTCCTCGTCGTGGACTACATTGGATTGGAATAGCATGTCGCTGTTTTCATTTGGTCGACCGAATAGTTTTTTGAGTCTCTTTCTTGTTTCTAGAACGCTTTCGATGTTCTTTTTTAGCTGATGCCCATCGAGCATATATCTGGTCTGGAGGCTCGCTACTGCAGAGCGTAAAACCGCTGGAGATTGGTTCAGAAACCTTGTGTGCTGAAAGGCTTCTCCCTGGATCGTCTTTCCAAAGTCATATTGGAATACGCCTCCGTTGCCGGCCGAGGGTGCGCTGACCACGACGTCTCCTAAACGAATATCATGTCTATCGCTAGGTGCACCGCCGCCAATACCAACGAGAAGACCAACTCTGACGTTGGGAAAGGTTCGTAGTAAATTGGTGGCCACGTTGGACGCAGAAGCGGTCCCGTATTCTAAGGGAAGAACAGCAATGACAACATTGTGCTTTCCAATAGAACCCAATATGTAGCTGTTGGAGTCATGCGACGGCTGGTCTTCCAAGGGTGCGTGCTGCTCATCGAGAAACGCCGCCGCCGCAATCTGCTCCGTAGTCAGAGCGCAGATCCAACCAACAGTATATTTCTTGGGATCAGCCATGGCAATATGCCAATTATGTATTAGAAAAGATCAGACACGAAAAATGAGGAATCTCAAGAGACTGTGCATGAAGTTGGGCCAATTCCAGGCATCAGGCTGTGTGATGTACTTTATAGAGGCAATTTTTTCATTGGGCAGCCGCGTCGGGAATTAGTTTTTACCGCCGTCCAATGATGTTATGAGCAGCCTGCATCATGTATTGTATGGGCAAAGTTCCTCTGAAGACGGAGATTCGGCGATTTCATGCTGCCTATGTAGGTGTCCAAGCCCTTCAACATTCGTTTACATGGAAGCTGTAGTGTAAGAGCTTTACCAAGTACGTAAGATAGTGCAGGTGGTAGGTAGTAGTGGGACACCAGACACAATTGGAGCCGCTAAAACTAGACCCACGTCATATCGAAAAATTTCCGCCAGCAAGAAATCGCAAATCTCATCATGGAAGACGGGAAAACCAGAGCGTAAGGTGATTTAGCATGTGCCAGTAGCGACATGAGTTACTTTTCTCTGAGCCAATTGCCATTGCTCCACGCGTAGCTTTGCACTCAAATTCAAAGCTCATCCATTTCCACTTTCGCCTCTCGGCTCTTTCAGTTCACCGAACAATAATCAACAGGGTACGAAGGCATAACGATATAGGCATCCATGCACTCAAAGTCTCTTCCTCACCATCAGGGCAAGCCCCAAGCAGCAATGAAAAGATAGAAAAAAGACACGCCTGTCAGACGTCCATCGACACCCACCCTACCAGTGCGCCCGAAGGCATGACCACGGATAGGGTCGAGATCATCAAGAAGAAAAAACAACTCTCTATACAGCAGCTGCAACAAGGCAAACTACCGCCATCCTTGCGGACAGAGCGAGAGGACCAGAAAATTCACTCTTGGGTATCGAGGATATGCAATCATCAACCAGGGTGGATTCGATGGCTCTTTTGGGAACCAAAGCAAGAGACAAATACTATAGAAATGATTCTCCTGTTGAAGTTGTTAGCCATCTCTGAATCCTGATTGTCGTTGTTGTTTGCTGCAGCTGCAATGATGGGAGAAATCACTGCAAGGCCACAGTTAGGGGTACACATACTGAAGTATTGTCGACGTAAAGAAGAAAAGAAAAAAAAAATCAAAAGCACGGCGGGCGAAGCAGACATTTATACCTGCTCTGGTGGGGCGCCCTGACCGCCCAATTTTTTTTTTTTTCTGCCGCAAACGAAAAAAAAAAACAACAGTAAACCCACCACATCCACATTCACTTTAGCTCGAGGCTACCAAATCTCCGTTATCGAGCTTATCTGGGTAGAGCGACAGGGGTGCACCACCAAAAAAATGAATCGCGAACGTGCTAGTGAGAAGAAGTGCCGAGATGCACGGTTGCTGTGAAGAAATTTTCTGCATTTTGCACTGATTGATGTTGAGATATTGCGTAACAGTAACTATATATACCTTGTCATTTTGTGGTCCTTGAAAATTTGTAGCTGAATAATTGTCAAGCTAGTGGAATATGTGCTGGTCGTTGTGTTTGCCTCTATCAAGAACTTCGACATGGCGTCGCAAGTTGGCTGGTGATGTCCATTGATGAAAACACTAACAAGAACATAGATCCCACCACCAAATTGTAGAGATATGTTCCTGATATCTACCCTAAAAAACTATATTTTAATTTGAGACCTGTCATTCATGATTCATTCTTTATCTAACGGCTATAAACGTAAAATCTCGTCCACCCGCCCAGCTTCAGGGTAGGTAGGCCATATGATCATCAACACCATCACTCTCTATACAATCCCTCCCCATCAATCCACCCCAAAACCTCCCCATCAACCATCCCCTCCAACTCCTCTCTCTTCCCACTTTTCACCAACTCCCTCACCCTCGAACTACTCACACCACCCTTCCTCCCCTCCACCAAATCCACCCTCCCAGCCCAGTCCTTATCCCCCCCAACCTCATCCAACCCGCCCTCTCCAAGCCCCTTCACATATCGCACCTGCTCATCCTCCCCTCCCCACTCATCATCCGTCCTCATCGTCACCCGTAGTCTCGCATTTTCAAAAAACGGGCCAAGCGCCGCCTTCATCCCGCCATCCTCTGAGCCGTAGTACTTTGGATTGAATATCCGAATCACCGTATCAAAGCCCGCTAGGAAAATCTGCTCCGGCGCTGGGTTTCCTTCGCCGGCGTAGAACCCGCTCTCGGCAATCACCCTCGCCTTGTCGTGGAAATACGGCATCTTCGTCACGGCCAGGTCAATGTCCGGCCCCTCATTGGCATTGGCAAAGCTCTTCAACAGCTCATGCCCAAACCCTTCCATCATCCCCAGCCGCGTTGGGAAACTCGCCGGCTTGGGCGCCTTGTCCGCATTATTTACAGACAGCAACAGCATCAATTTTGCTGAAGACGACGAAGAAGAAGAAGCCCACTCAAGAGCCGACTTTGCCATCTCGGCATGCGCCCGCGTCGGTGGATTGAAACTCGAATCCAGCACCACTAGTCTCTGCCTCTGCCCCAGCTGCTTTGAGTTCGATGGCCGTGGAGCCGGCTCCTTGCTCCCACCGTGATGGGGCAGCGTGCACAGGACCCGAAAGACATCTGGCGACGAGTGGAACGATGAGAGCGAGCGGGAAAAGAAGTCGACCAGCTGCTTCGGATTGGGACGCATGGCTGACGGATCTGCCGCTAAATCGGTCATGACGCTGCGCTGAAACGAGACACGAGATGAATTATGATGGTGGCAAGGCTCTAAAGTGCTTGATTATACGTAGCATCCCATCTGATCTGAAGTAGCATGAGACGCGGGGCATTTTCGGCATATCAACCGCAAAACTGACTAACACGCAAACGAGCATCGTAGGCCACAACTAAATCATTCTATTATGGCTTCAACACCACAATTACTATCTAACAGTCTAGCTAGATATATATATCCCAAAAATTGTGGAAAGCGAAAAAAAATTAAAACGAGCAAAAAAGGTAAGCCACCGTCTCGTCGCCTGCGCCCGCCCATGGAACGTAAAAAATTAAGAAGCCTGCTCTGAGGCCTGCGCATCCATCACTCCTCGTGAGAACCACTCGGAAATGGTCGCAAACCGGTCAGTGCTATTCTCCAGGTCCGCCTTGAATATCTCATGCCGCCCTGCCCGCTCCCTTTGACCCTCTCTCATCTTGCGAATCACCTCGTTCTCGCCAGCGCATTTTGGGCATTCAATCTCGTCATCCTCGCCGCCGCCACGTAGACACCGCTGGTGGAAGCTGTGCTTGCACATAAAATGCACAGCTGGAAGGTCTAACCCCTGGCCACAGTCGGAGCACCGCGTGGCCTGGAAAACAGCAGGCTTTGAGCCCAAGTCTTCCAGATCGCTTCGCCTCTTTTCCGTATCGGTACGCAGTGTGGATATCCTGTGCCGGTTTTGAGCAATTTCCTTGCGCTCCCGGGTGATTGTCTCGCGAAGATACGGCTTGATCATCCCCATTGTAGCTACGCCACCCCCAGAATTCTGCCCGACAAGAGTCTGAACAACCTGCAGCGGGGCCATGAGCCCGTCCTTGTCAATCTTTGCCAGGATAGCTGCCAGCTCGTCAGGCCCAGCTTCCTCCAGCACTCGAGGATCCGAAGTGAGATAGGACAAGGCCGCCGGATATAGCTGCGGTTCCTCTGGGCCGTACTTTCTCAGAGCCTTTAGTGCACCGCGTGTGTCCTTTGCCGTGGTATAGGATCTGAATATGTCAGATAGCAGTCCGGCCTGCTCCTTGACCAAAACGGTGCCGTCTTGGAAGTTGGACAAATGCGACAACAAGAGCACATTTGAGCTCTCCATGGGCACATGCTCCCCCTCAATTAGTTTCTTCGCCTTTGCCTCCCATTCTTCCTTGTGCAAACTTCCCTTCTTTTCATTGGACTTGTGCAAGTACATCTCAAACAAGGTAGTGTACAGATCGCTGCTATGAGCGGTTCTCAGCTTTTCTTCTTCAAGACATGCCTCCAAAAAGGTAATGAATTCATCGGGATGATCGATAAATGATGAAAATGCCGTTCGTGGTGGCGGAGGGTTGTATTTGGGTATGGGAATATCGTCTTCGTCGGGTACAACGATGGTCTCGTTTGGCTTTGCGCTCCCTGGAGTGCCTGTGGCGGGGCTTATGTATGAAGGCAAGACGAGAAGGTTGGTGAGATTCTGCACAGCGCTGGCCGCTCCAGCAGTGAATCCTGTACTAGAAGTGGCTGTCCCGGAGACTTCAGTCGGCAGTACCACCGTCCGCCGTGGTCGGTAGTTGCGAGTATAGTAATCCACAAAGAGCTTAGTAGCATCTTTGGGGCAATGCTCTATGAGGACTCTGGCGTATTTTTGCATACACGGATATGCCTGGGGAGTCCAGTTAGTATGGGCTCAGCTGGGAGTTAAAGCGAGAGGAAGGGGAGAGGCTCACAATAGCAGGATCCTGATGCCATATATAGTCCAGGGCCTCGTCGTAGCTCTTCGAGTCCTCGATCAGGATATCCACAACAAGCTCGGTCTCGCCATGCTTTTTGGCGAGGAATGCAGCTTGCTGGTAGTAGCCACCCTGCCGGCACATGGTGATGGCCGTATCTAGATCAAACTTCAAATCGCCCGGAGCCATGATGAACTCTTCCAACTTTTTGATATCTTTTAATTTGGCATAGCAGTTGAGCAAGAGTGTTGTGTGATCAGATGTTGCCTTTCCATGATGATGAAGTTTTTCCAAGTACAGTATCAGATTGTGTATTCTTTGCGTATCCAGAAACTGATTTCGTCAGTATGGCCTATCATTTGAGTTAGACGGACGTGTATAGGCTTCCTACCTTTCTGATGACTTGAGAGGGCTCAGTGGCATCGATCGCTCGAATATACTGGTTCATTGCCCCGTCGTAGTCTGATTTTTGGTACAGGTGATCGCCGAATTTACGGTAGATAAGACTTTGCTGCTCGTTGCTCATCCCCGAGTGCTGGGCCAGCTCGATTGCGAGAGGATACATGTTGCGCTGGTAGAGCATCTCAAGGCGCTGCTGAAGCGGCTTCTCATGGTATCGGAAAATCTGAATGACGTCCAGTTAGCATTCATGGCTGAACATTGAAATTTTGGCAATGCCATACCTTTCCTTCCTCCGTAATTGTGAACAAATCCCCCCATAATTCAATAATAAATCGAACTGGAGAGATGAGCGTCTCTGTATGGCCAACCACTCGGAGATCCGCTTCCAACAGAACAAATGTCCATGCGTTAAATAGTCCATCTGCCGTTGCTGAACCGAATCTCCTCCGCAGGGCCTCGGGATCCCGGCTGCTGCTGACAGACGACGGGCCTGCAACAGCAAAATAGTCGTTGTGGATGGATATAAGCCGCTTGGGAGACTCGTATGCCCGAGGGGCGCCGCGCCCATCCAGTCTGTATGTATAAAGAGCGTCATCTCGGGCGACAATGATATCCCCGGTCCTAGGATCGACCGTCATGCAGCCCGCGGCGCAGCCAGAGTCTTCGATGGTTTTGGGCGGTGAGCCTTGCCCTCTCTTGGACAGCACGAGCTGCAATATCCTCGATGTCGTGGAGATGAAGAGCGTCGTCGAGCTCTCTTGGGTTGCCAATTGGACACCAGTCACCGGCTCTTCCGATTCGTAGACAATCCGCTGCTTTGTCCCCAAGTCGTGAACAAGGTCTCCTCGAATGACGGTCACAGCGCCGTTCGCAAAGCCCACGGCGATTTGAGTTAGGTCGTCGAGCGCAGTAAACGCTGATATCTTGGTTCAAAGTTAGTTGACCAGCCCCTAGGAAATCCCCGGATCACGCAACAGCAACTTACGGGAAACTGCCGCCTCCCATTGTTGATCGTCAAGGTACTGAGGCATGTCGGCATATTCGTCTTCTTAACCAACTTGTCCAACGCCCACGCCTTTAAAACCGGTTCACTGCTCATATCTTCCTACAGAAACATCAGCAACGAGACACCTTCTACCGAAAACTGCGAGGACCGCTAAGCTCACCGCAACCGTCACCAGCAAGCTCGTCCCCTCCACTTGACGCATATGCGTGATGCGCGCCTCGTGCGCCTGAAACGTCCTAATCACCTTCCAGCCCTTGCCAATGATGCTGACGTATCCATCGCTCGAGCCGAGGAACAGGCTGTCGGAGCCTGTGCAGATGCTGGCGATCTCGTTGCCCTCGAAGAGCTGGCGGGTTTCATCGTCAGGCAGCGCTACCTGCGAGACGTCGAAGAAGTCAAACGACTTCCACTGCAGGCACGGGTGTTAGCGGTCGGCAGAACATTTGCAAGCCACAGCTCACTCCCAACGGAAGAGCATAGATGCTGTAGGAGTAACCCAGTGATAGTGCTGGCTCACGTACTGAGATGGCCATCTTGTCGCCTTGGAGAGGCGGTGGTTGGAGAGTCGCAATAACTAGCGCTTCAGCGCACGATGACGATGGCGGGACACAGCTGGCTGCTGAAGCTACGCCGAAGCTCAAGCCAGGCCAGTTGGGCTAGTTGGCGCCACAGTGGCTCATGCTAGGCACGGCCAAGTGCCTAAACAGCAATAGCTATTTAGTCAGGTAGGCATTCATTCAACCTCACAAATCAATGCATTAGATATTAATAGTAAAAATTTCACTGTAATGTATAATATCATTCTTGAGCAGGAAAATCAATCTCAGATTATGCGCCTGTGTCAAATCTTGTTGCCAGTGACCTCTACAAAGCCGATAATAAGATGGTAAGACCGCTACCAGATACATGTCTTCCATCGCTATACTCGTCAATTAATAGGACCCCGCTGGTTGTGCTTCAAAAAGCTATTCTTGTCTTCTTTTCTTTGCACAGCACGAAAAACAAACAAATTCAATACTGCTCGCATCTTCCCGTAGGCTAAAGGGTATCACGTTGTCACATCTTTGAAGTCTCTACCCCACCGGCTGAAAGAGAAAGGGAAAAAAGTGTAAAGTGAAAGAGGGGAAAAAAAAGAATGGACGAAAGGAAATGGAAAAAAGAGGGAGAGAGAAGAAAAAAAAAGAAGAAGAAGGAAAAACAATCCCTAACCCAGCCACGCATATAAGCCATCTAATCGAATACGGACAGCTCTTCCTCCGAAACGCCCGGTAAAAGCAAACTGATAAAAATTGGTAGTTGTTGTAGTTGAAAAGGCAAGTTTAGTCCTCCTTGGAATCTGGTGTTAGCGGCATATCCTCTTGGTTCTCGGCAAGGCTCTTCTTAGCAGGTACCTCTCGGGGGCTGGCGAGTGCAACGCTGCCGCTCACGCTGTCGGGTCGATTGTGTCCCAGGCGGCCACTTCTAACGCTTGCACCGTCGCCCTGCTTGGTATATATACTGTTGCGTTCGCTCGGGATGGCTGGCGCCACACCCGTTGCAGAGTAGATGCTGTTTCGCTCTGCTCCTAGCCTGGAGGCGTTGTGAATGCCTGAGGCGTCGATGTTGGCACTGAGAACACTCAGTGGTAAACTCTCACGGCTGCCCCCCCAAAGTGATGAGGGCGCTAGGGCTCGCACAGACGCATCGGTATCCATCGACCGACGACGGCCTCGCTTGCTCGACGAGGCCAGAGTCAAGATGGATGCATTGTCTGTAAGGAGGTTATTGGCCGTAGCTGTGGTGTATGTCGTCAGATGGTTTGGCGGGATGAGATGTGATGGTATAGCCGAAGCCGGTGAAGTTGTAGGGAACGGTTGGCTGAACTGAATCGACTGGGTGATACTGTGAGTTGGTGCTACCGGGGCTTGCCCATGGGGAGCAAATGACTGAATAGTGGTTAATGTTGTAGCGAGCGATCTGACCGATGGAGACGGGCTCGAAAATGTGCTATCGCCACCTCTTCTGGATTCGTGTCCCCCGTTAACTGTCCTGCTTGTTCCCGTCACAGAGCTCGGCGCGTGGCTCGGCGCGATGATGGATCGAGGCGGATCAGTTTCGGTCTCGGTTGATATGGTCATTGTCAGGCTCCTCCCTCCTGAAGTCGGCGGTGCATATCCATCTGCTGAGAAGCGAGTGGGCTGATCAATTGTCGAAAGGCTGCAGTCGGTGCGGCCGGTAGCAAACGAGTACGAACTTTGTCCATTGGGATGATTGCTACTAACGTGGCCGGACTGAGGATACGGGTTGTTGAGCTTGGGACCACGCTTTATCCTAATGTGTCGCTTCTGTCGCTCGCCATCGGATGACGACTTGAAATTGGTAAGCTTCTTGACCCACGTTGAAAACGGCCTTCTTCGTTGTTGTGCTTGGCGGTCTATCGATGGTTAGCCTTTTTTGAATAAACGCCGTTAAGAACCCAACAAGGGATGCTGCTTGGGCTGAAACGCCCTAATATTCCACGCGACGCAGGCAACGACGAAGAGAGCGGCGAAAAGCAAGGAGACAGTACCGTGAGCCTCTGATGAGATGAAATCGGTAGTCGCCATCATGGGCGAGCTCGTGGGAATGCCGCGGGTGCGGCTCGAAGAGAGTAGCGGATTTGGTGTTGGCGCGATGGCGAGCAGCGTCAGGCTGAGATGGAGATTAAAGATGGAGATTAAAGAAGGGGGAGAGGGGCCTTGCAAAGACTAAGCTAAGACTCGCGAATTCGGCTATCGGGATGGCAGTCTCTCAGTCCAACGGCGGCAACAAAGGAGCGTGGCGTGCAGAATTACGATGCGAGGGAGAAGCGCAGATGGCAGATCGCGAAGAGGTTGAAGCCCGTCCAACCATCCTGATGGTGCAGCGCTAGAGCAATAGCGTTGCTCGAGCATCATTTCGGCATTCGACGCGCAGGGGTCCATCACGTGATGCGCCGGGATCACATGGAGGAATGGAAGCAGTCGCTGACGATGACGAAATGCTGCATCTGCATTGGGAGAAAGAGGGTCTCAGCCTTTCGCATCTGCTAGAGCTAAGCAGCGCTATGATCCGCGACACTCGCGTCTGACGATAGCTCTGGCTCAAGTGGGCGGCTCTTATTAAGAGCTGCAAGTTCGGCAATAAAGTTCTGCGACCACATCCACCTCCCCGCGTTTCCCAGCGCTTCCCGGAGTATTCCTCCTCCCGCAAAGACCCTGACTCGAAGCGGCGTCTGGAATTGGTCGGCGATCCATGCCCGAAATGGTGGCAAGCTAATCTTACATAAACCCTGGATCCATTTTCACGTCACGATTCCCCGTAGATCGGCCTTCAGCTCGCCAACGCCGGGAGCTTGTTCAAACGTCCGTTTCGGCCTCGGTTTCGACTAGCACAGCTGCTTCCGACTTGTAATGAAGCATCATGTGCCATGTCCATCAGGCCGCTCCCAGAGGATGTCGTTGGCAAAATCAGATCCTCGTCGACCATCACATCGCTGAACGGCGTTGTCTGCGGCCTGCTGAAGAATTCGCTTGACGCTGGCGCCACCAAAGTCAACGTCTATGTCGAGTATGGCCGGGGGAACTGTACCGTAGAAGACAATGGACCGGGCATTGTTCCCGGGGACTTTGCAGAGGATGGAGGGCTTGGAAAGCCTTATTGTATGAAATTGAATTCTATGGCTGACTGAGCGGATGCTGACTTTTCTTTGTGAAGACTCTTCCAAGTTTCCAGCCCAGCAAGGACTGCATGGCAGGCAGGGAACGTTTTTGGCTTCTTTGGGCACCTTGTCTCTACTTACGGTGACATCTCACCACCAACGCCACAACTCTCACAACTCCCTGTCGATTCACCACGGCAAACTCTTAAAGAGACAGACACAATCCTTTTCTGGAGAGAGATTCGATGTATTTGACCATGGCACGCGAGTTGCGGTTAATGACTTATTTGGCTCGCTTCCTGTTCGCGTTAAACATCGTGCCACTCTATTTGCCGATCGACCTGGGCGTGACAAGGAATGGGCACGACTAATTCATGATGTGGTCGGGCTACTTGTGGCGTGGTCTTCCGGGGTTACTGTGTTCTTGTGTGATATCAAGGGACAGCGCGAGCTGCGTCTAAAGCCACCAGAAAATGCGAGTATGGTTCCCAGAGCATTACGCTACTTTGTACAAGCCTCCCTGGCAGATTCTGGTGAAATGGACTCGTGGGTTCCAGTATCAGCGACTGCCGGCCATGTTGCTATCAAGGGCTGCATCTCTCTGACTCCGGTGGCAACCCGCCGATCCCAGTTTATGAGCATAGGCATATTACCCATCTCAAACGAGTATGGCAACAATGTTCTCTATGAGGAAGTAAACAAAATGTTCAAAAATTCAGACTTTGGGATAGATGAGGGCAAAATAGGAGAGACAGGTGACCGTGCTGGTCCGATTTCTCAGAAGAAGGGCAAGGGAGCAGACCGATGGCCCATCTTTTACCTGCGAATCACGCTCAAAGGGAGTGAAGATAGCTTTGACATGGACGATATCTCTAGCCACTCGCATGGTGACCTTCAAAAGATTATCGACTTGCTGAGAGCTATGACTTATAGCTTTCTGAAGAAAAATCACATGCGCCCACAAAAGGTTCAGCTATCTTCAGACAAGTCTGTGTTTTCGACAGCGCCACATCGCAGCACCAAAGCGTCAAAAGGACACATGCCTCCACCAACACAGGCTTCAATACCTCCATCTTCACAAGCCTTACTGTCAGATTCCTCCTCATCCCTGTCAGACAGCCCTTTTGACGGCTGGAATAGGATGAAGGTTGGCCTAAGAACGGAAACTAAGTCGGCAGAGAAGCTGTCGCGGCGTGAACCTACTCTAGCCCCTTCAGATACTATTGCAGCAGAGAGACTTGTTGGAGAAGGTGGGAAGCTGCTCCGAAAGCCCTTTAGTATCCCAGATTCGTCTGATCCTGAAGCAGAGAGCATAAATTCTAGTGAAACTGGTGCTGGGAACGTTTGCGGGAAGGGCTCTCTTTCGCTTGCTGAGCGTCCTAAGAGAACAGCAGAACCCTCATTGAGTGAAGCGACTAAACGGCTAAAGGTGGGTGATCCAGAAGCCGTGATTGGGGGTTTAAAAAAGACAACAGAGACCAATGAGAGAGAAGAGCCAAGCGAATGGCTGCAAGAAGTTCTCAAGTCGTGGCGCAATCCGGTCTTTGAGCCCACCGAGTCGCTTATACCGCGTATCAACGATGAAGCGCCAGCACCTATGCGCGAGACAATGCTAGTTCATGGCTCACATCGATGTCGAAACGATGGCAATGGAGGAGTCAAATTCGAAGCTGCATCCATAGGCATAGAAGGCCGAGTGTCACGTTCAGCTCTAGAAGGAGCAGAAGTCATTGCACAAGTCGACAAGAAATTCATCATGCTGAAGCTGCCGCTTCAAGACATGAAAGATGCATCAAAATCGGGCAGCTCTTGCGCCCTGGTGATGCTGGATCAACATGCCGCCGATGAGAGATGCCGTCTAGAGGATCTCTTGACGGAGTATTTCAAGGATGATCCCTCCAGCGGGATCTTCAGAGCAGTCGTCGAGTCTCTGGAGCGACCATTGATATTTGAAACTTCGGAGCGCGAATACGGGTTGCTACAGCGATATCAGGGGCACCTCGAGGCATGGGGCATTATGTATAGGACTACTCAACAAGCGGCGGGATATACGATTACGGTGACGGCTCTGCCTCCGAGTATTTTGGAACGCTGTCGTGGCGAGCCGCGGCTTTTGGTGGATTTGATACGTAAAGAGATATGGAAGCTTCACGACGAGGGCATCATTCCCCCACGGCCGCGCAGTGCTGGGAAAGGCACACAGAATCAAATTTCAATGGCAGATTTTCATGGTTGTCCGAGGGGGATCCTCGAGTTGTTGCATTCGAGGGCCTGTCGAAGTAAGTTACTCTCTGGGTAAATGCAGCTTATTTTATCTTTCTGCTAACGAATATGTGTGCTCTGCAGGCGCTATCATGTTCAATGATGTTTTATCGGCTGGAGAGTGCGAGTATCTTGTGCGAAAGCTTGCGCGATGCGCGTTCCCTTTCCAATGCGCGCATGGACGACCGAGTTTGGTGCCATTGGTGGATTTGGGATCGGCGTGTCGTATTCGGGCGTGGGATGAGGTTGGAAATGCTAGGGAAGATTTGAAAGTGTGGAAGAGATGGATTGACGCATAGCATAAGAGGAGCGTGTAATGATGTTTGCATGAAAGTACGCATGTCACAGTATATGACACCGGCGCATGTTTTGCTACTGGATAATACATGAATTATCATGATGTATAAGTATATATATATTTATATATTTATGCATAGTAGTACATAGTATATCGTATCCGATGTGGAAACAGGAGGAAAACAGCCTTTGAAACTCCCCATTGCCTCACACGACGTGTTTTCGACATGAACTCATTAAAACAAGACTGGTATCCAACTATGTACAGGCAACGGCTCACACAACACGCCCAGTATCTGCGGTTGAACGATTGAGGAAAGAAAACTAAAGCCCGCCCATGATGAAAAAATAACAAAAACGCCTGCGATGCTCGTTTCGCTTTTTGATCCAATGAAAAATGTGACGTGTAGAGAGAATATACCAAGCATTAAAGAGGAGGGAAAAAGGTATATGCGTACAAGGAGAAAAGGAAGCCATGTTATTGCAGAAGAAAAAGAAATGCGAGACTTTGTAAGTTTCATAAGTCTCTTAGTCGGTTTTCTCATTCTTCTTGGCTTCCTCTTCCTTTTTCTTGGCCTCCTCTTCCTTTTTCTTGGCCTCCTCTTCCTTTTTCCTGGCCTCCTCTTCTTCTTTGCGCTGCTTGATTTCTTCGTCGGACATTTTGACCCATTCGCTAATGTCGTGGTTCCAGCGGTGGCTGCAAAACAAAACGTTAGCATATAATTCTGCCAGGGGAAAATCAAACGAAATGAAAATAGTTCAAATGAAAAGGCGGAAAAAGAGAGAATTAAAAAGATGCAGCCTAAATGGGGCTGTGCTGGTGCTGGAGGCAGATCCAGATCGTAGTTTGGCTGCAGGGCTGCAATGCCAAGACTTCAGCCTCCCTCAAAAATGACGACAGCGCTCTTTTTAAGGAGAAGCGGGCGGAGGACCGAAAAAAGGGTCTCTTTCGCCTTCAACTCCCAATGACGAATGACGATCCCCTCATGCAAGACATTTACTTGATCCCTCGATGAAATACGAATGAAATACGAATGAAAAGAAGAAGGCGCTAAAGGAAAAAAGAGGTTAAAAAAGGCAATCGCTTACTTTTGGAACTCCTCGACAACCAAGCTCTTGTCGCCGTACTCGTCACGCAGAATCTGCTCAAAGTTGTACGGGATGCGCGCCTTGACGCCCTCAAACTCGGTGACGCGCATGGGCCACAGGTCCTGGCTGCCGTAGCGGTGCTTGTTCTTGCAGCTCCAGACGCCCGGGCGGTCGGCCTCGCGCTCGCGCACGCCGGTGATGTCGATGAACATGCCGTTGGTGGTGTCGATCCAGCGCGCGTCGATGATGTTCATGCCGTCGCCGCGGTCGATGTCGACGTGGTGCGGGTTGATGTCGAGCAGATACGTCTTGGAGTTGCCATTAAACTCGTGGGTGTGCTCGGTGCGGTTCATGTTGTCGCCCAGCCACTGCATGGTGTTGTTGGACACCTGCACGTCCAGGTCGTAGTCCCACGGCATGATCTGGCCGTTCCACCACCAGCCCAGCAGCGTGCCGTGGGCGAGCCATGTCTCGACGCCGTGCTCGTGCAAGGTCGTCAGGTAGCTGCGGACCAGCTGGCGCAGCACGTCGCGGTGCTCGCCGTACGGGATCTCGGCCTTGAAGAAGCGCTTGTCGTAGTGGCCCAGCGCGAGGCTGCCGCCGGGCTCGATGAAGTATTTGGGCGTCTTGTCTCGCTTTAGGCGGTCGAAGCGCGCGGTTGGCGAGGCGCCGGCGGGGGAGATGGACAGGGCGGCGACGAGGAGCGAAATCACGGATGAGGGTATCATTGCGGCGGTGGTGTGGTATAAGTCGTATATGCAGAGGAGAAGAGTAGAAGAGAAGAGTATAGCTAGGCGTAGAAGACAGGAAGGCGAAAGAGTCCAGGCTGGCTTGTAGCAAACGAGAATCACTGCCCAGTCAAGGATAGCACGTATCGGTATTCCAAAGTCTGGGATTCCCTGAATCAAGATCGAGTATCGAAAGTCCCCCAAGGGAGATGAGATGGAGCAAGCTAGTAGCTACTACTGGTCCCGCTGATATGGTCCAAGGGTGCTCCCAAAAAATGATGAAGCACGATAGTGGTATATTTCGCTAGGGGCGTTATAGGATCGGGTTCTGATCGTTTCAAAACAGCAGCGCCAAGCGAATGTAAGACTTTCTTCTGAAATGGAGTAACCAATTGGACGGTAAAAAACCAGGAGTAGGCCCGAAAGAGGGCGCTTTGGTCACACAATGAGTCGCCAAAACAATAAAAGAAGCCCAAAAGAGAAGAATGGTTAAAACGAGCAAAAGATTGTTTTAGAAATACAGAAATGAGGAAAAAAGGGGAGAGGGGAGAAAAATTAGAGACGGCGAGCTGAGATGGAACGGGGGAGCAAGGATTGGTGGTTAGGTCGGCTACGCGGTGCCTTTTGGTGGGAGGGTTGCCTTGGGAATAGGGAATAGCGTTTGTGGGCGGGCGTGTGCAGCAGAAGCTCAGCGGTGCTGCTATAATTAACAATGCGGCGGCCCTGCCAAGAGAGTGACAGCTGTAGACAATGGGCCAAATAAGTAGCCTTATAGCTCAAGAAGAAGAGGAAATGGAAGAGAAGAGAAAAGGGGAAAAAGAAGCTTCTGAATCTACTCGCGCTCGTCCGCGCCTCGTCTCTTTCCAGCTTACAGCGTCTCTTACTAAACCCGGTACACAGAAGCTGTTTTCCATCTCCCCCGTCTCTGTACTGTAATAAAAAAAGCCCAGCCTGACGCTGCCCCAAAAATTACGTGGCTTGACAGCAGAATGACGGCGGCCAAGGCCACGCGACATTGACTTTCTGTCCTATCCCACCGCGGCCTCCTGTCACCAAGTCATTCCAAAACATCCACTTTCTCACTCTTTCCCACACACTCGCCTCACGCCAAAAGCAGACAAGGGCTGCGTAATCGCCAAGACCGCTGGTTGTACAGTATTAACTAGTTCAAACGTCCTCTATGCCCGCTGCGAGAAACACACGACACACACTCCTTCTTTTTAGTCCCTGTCCTAGGAACATTATAGGAAAAATACACGGGACTAGGGGGGGGCTGGCTAATGCAGGCGGGGGGCCCTGTTTGAAGCCCAGGATTCATACATGCGTTGAGTGGAGCGACGTTGCGATGGGATTCAAAATCCGGAGAAGGGCACGCGGGTTGTGGGAGAAGATTCGTGTAGGCATGGCGGCATGACAGGGCCGGTGCTAAAGAGTCTGTGAGGTGCTGCATCTGCTCGTGTGAGACGACGATCGTGCGCCGTGAGTTGCCTGTTTTGCCGTAGCACCATCTGCGCAGATACGATGCTTTGTTTTCTGTTCTGCAACGGCGTTATCTCTGCCCTGCGGCAGTTGTTAATTCACCCGCTCATGCAATCTATCACTCTCTCTGCAGACAAAAGAAATTCCCAAGCAAAAGAATCCTTCTCATCTCCTCTCACCCTCATTCTTACTCAGTCCAGCCAAGCACCAACCCACAAACACACCCTATCGCCCAGCGCTAAGCCCCTCGCGGCAATCAGTCGTGTGTCGGCGTCTGCTCCTCTTCCTTTCCAGCCACACGCCTCCTTGCGTCATCACTGCGCAAAAGAGAACAAATTAAAAGCCACCAGCGCCTCGCCGCCTGGGGCTGTTCCCCAATCCGGCCTCTTCACCAACCAATCACAGATGATACTGGGTACATTGTCGCACAGAGCTTTGCTGCCGACAAACCCAAGTAGCGGATACACACATACAGTGTTTGAACCCACTCAGCCTCGCGCCAAGCAAATCTCCTTTCTGATTTGATTAACACCACCAAGCCAGAGCCCCCTATAAAATCACCAGTTTTGCCAAGACTCCAAGGAGCACCAGCGCTTGAGACTGATCATTTCCCCATTTGATCTCTAGTACATTCGGAGCACATTCGCAGTAAATGAGCACACGACACAAGAAAAGCCAAGAAAAACAAGGGGGGAGGGGACAGGCAACTTTCTCGATTTTGCTTACTACTACTACAACCTTGAAGTACGAGGAGTACGAGGTTAGAGTTGCTTTTTGCTTTTGCTTTCGCTGTTGCTCTGCTTCTGCTTCTGCTTCTGCTTGGCTCTGCCTGGCTCTTCGTGTTTATTCACACGCACCACCATCTCCGCTACTTATCATCGAATAAGAGCGCACACCCCCTTTTACTTAAAAATTAAAAATAAAGAGAAAAAACAAAATAAAATGGCAAACTCGTGCCGGCCGCATGTACCATCCAGTAGTCAACGCCTGCTATTGTTGAATAGTATCGTCGAAACCCACTGCACGCGAGATTCTAGAACTCTTAATTGCCAATCTCACTCCACCCACCGCAACGCGTATCTCTTGTCAAGTGCACCCGTTGTTCATCCCCCATCCCCCTGGGATCAGGATAGCCCCAGTCCCAGCTTGGGAAAAAAGAGGCTTGCGCTGTTTCGCCCGCAATGGCTCTGCCGCATTTCCCGGGGAGTCCACTCGAGCTGCAGAAGCCTACGCCAGCTTTCGGGAGAAAAATGCCGATCGGCCCGGCATTCGTCGCAGCAGAGACGGGGCTGCTACAAGTTCAAAGAGACTACAATAGGCTGAGGCGGTAAACGCTGACCTGACCAGATAGGTACATTACGTGGGGTGTTTCGCCTGTGCTCTATTGTTACGGATTTAGACACCAGATGGAAATGGAATACTCCTCCAAAAAGATATCAAAGGAAAATAGTGAAACAGTCCATATTGGTGAATACAGAGGAAAGCAGCAAAAAATAGAAAAAAAAAAACACCCTCTTGGAGAGGTTGGCGGATCTCTCCCGCCGGGAATTGAACCCGGGTCTCAAGCGTGACAAGCTTGCATACTGACCACTATACTACGGAAGATGTAACTGACTGTGGACAGCCAGTGTAGCGGATCGATCTTGGATGCTGCCGAACTATTCTATCTAATATACTGCACGGACTGTCTTTGCAGCCCAAACTCCTTTCAACATCACATGATGCTTCACATCTGATGACACAGGAAAGGACCGGAATGAATCATGTTTTGCCGGGTATCGACGAGTAGAAATCCCTTATCCGTTCTACTCTTGTACGCACAAATTGATTTATACATCAACAGATACCACCACCCTCTCACCTTGAAAGTGGAAAAGAAAAGAAAAGAGTACATGCTCCCCCCGAACGACCTTACCAGCCAATGTCCCAAGGCCCGTCCGTCAATCTATTCCCTTCATCACCGTCATCATCACTCATTCTGAGGAATAAAACACACAGAACAAAAAAAAACAGGATGCCTCTTTCTTTTTGATAAAACCATCATACATTATCGCGCAAACACCTTAACAATGCCATCGCCCCCTCCACTAACCACCCACTTGCCGTCCTGACTCCAAACGCACGTGCAGATGCCCTCTCCTCGCATTACCCGATGACTTGTGATTTCTTGAATACATGTTCTCTTCTCCAGACTCCAGAACCGGAGCGAGGCGTCATGGCCGGCACTCACCAGCTCGCGCCCATCAGGGCTGAGTGACAGGCTGGAGATGGCATCGGGATGGGCCAGCATGTTGTAGGTGCATTGACCTAGTGGAAAATCAGTACATTCATTTCATTCTTTAGGAGAGATATGAAGTCACTTACCGCTATTGGCATCAAAGAATCGTACGAAACGATCCTCGTGGCCAGAGATGATGGTGCCCTCTACGCCAGAGCCTGCCATTGAGCGCCCGCCACCAGTTGGTCCTCCCATGGCCGGATCTTCTTCTCCGCCAATATTGGTGCCGTGATGCTGGTTCCCCTGGTCCAATCCGATGGTAGTAGCCACCACTGCGTTGACGCTCGTCTTGTTCGTGCCATCATACGTCTCCAAGCTGTCCATGAAGCCAACCTGCTCACCTGTCTTGGTATCGTACACAATCACAGCCGCATCTGAATAGGAGACGACAAAGGTCTCTCCTGAGCTTCCAAGAGGCGCAATGCACGTTGGGCTTGCGTTGGTTCCCTCTGTTCTCGACAAGACATGCACAAGTGTGTGGTTAAAGGGTGAATTCGAAGCCACCGTGGGTTGGGGAGAATTGGAAAAGCCACTGCCAGAGCTCATCGAGTTGCCACGCACTCGTCCGCGGCCTGATTGCGCTCGTTGTGGTGCCGGCTGCGGTGAGGTTGGCTGAGGAGGAGCGCTTACTGACCAAAGTCGCACAGTTCCGTCTGCTGCGCCAGAGACGAGTAGTATTCGGTCAGGGGTTCCGTAGTTGCTCGCGTTTCCAAATATAGCTCCCAATGTCGTGGGCAAGACGCAGAGCGCCCATACAGCGTCCGTGTGTCCCTCCAGTGTCGCCTTGGGATCGACCCTGCCACGTTCCCAAACTCGGACGGTGGCATCTTGACCTCCAGAGAAGATCCAGCCATCACCCTGAGCACGACCTCCAGTGGAGAAATTAGGAGCAAGAGACCATGATGCCAGCGATAAAATGGCACCAGCGTGGCCGCGGTGTGTAAAGTTTGCAGTGACGTCTAGGTCAGACGCGGCATTGTTTGAAGTGGCAGCGTTGCCGTCCAGCCGTGGGATATGGAATCGCTTGATCATGCCGTCATCGCCAGCTGTGCAAATCTCAGGCTCGCCAGGGCTACCTCCGCCCGAGAATATGACTGTACGGATGGTGTTGAGATGTCCCCTCAGCCCAAATCGTAGCTTGAAACTCCCGCTTTCAGCCTTTTGGTTTGCGCCAGTCAGCAAATCGTGATCACTATTGCGTCGCTTAGACATGGAGCTCTTTCTTCGGTGAGGCTGAGCTCGATTTGGGGACTTTGTCAAGTACTCTGCGTTTGGAAATGCGTCGGTATCGGATCGGTAACTAGAGGTTTGAGACGGTGGGTGGCTAGCTGCAGGCTCTGGGAACGAGCCATCAGGAAACTCCCAGCCTTCAGGATCAGGGGCAGCTGGAGGCTTTTCCCTCAGCTCTATAGACTCTTCCACCGCACCCATTGACTCAGCAGAGTGGTTAGGTCGCGGCAGACCATCTTCCACAGGTCGCGTGGTCACCGAAATCGGCTGCTGCTGCTGTTGCTGCTGCCAGTCATTTGGGTTGTGAAAGAGAGACTGCTGTTGATGATCGTTTGTGGAGCGCACCATCTGCGGTTGCATCTCGGGAGCGTTTGAGATGAACTTGGACTGCTGCTGCTGCAAAGAGTTGGGCCCTGGATGCTGTCTCGAATTCATATCTTGCATGTGGTTGGGCCCTTGTCGCATAGGAAGCTGGTATTGTCGTTCCATGAGCTGCGCGCCAGGCATACCAAAGGCTTCGGCTTCTCGTAGATCTTCTAAAATCGGTAGGGGGGGTGACTCTCGAGGCGGTAGGGGATTCGCTGGGGTAATCATAAGATACATAAACTCGGACTGGCATTGGTCCAGAAACGTCTTGAGCTCTGTTCGCTGTGACTCGTCGTCTGTCTTCTCGACTTCGATGCCTTCAACGCCCGGAACGGGTTGATTCTCTGATGAAGCTGGAGTTTTCGTTAGCAACGGTTAAAATCCAAGCTCATATTGCCGGGGAAAGAAAGGATAGCCCACATCGCAGCTTTTCTTGAATCTTGGCAGCGCGATCCTTCTTCGCCGGGTCAGCGTCCTCGGTAGTAGAGGTGCCGTTGAGCTGCGCAGCTTGGTCCTTGATCTTTCGTTCGAGGATGGATACATATTTCTTCAGCGCCTTCTGCGTAGCGTCTGCCCTCCTCGCCTGGCCCTCGAGGTTCGCTATCCTCCCCTTCATCTCCTGCTTCTCAATCTCCCAGGCATTTCGGTCGCGTTCGTGTCGGTGCCACTCCGTCTGCAGAAAGCGCATCACGCCCTGAAGCGTATATTCAGTAGCCGGCGGCTGGTTGGACGCATTGCCCTGCATTGCGCCGCTGAGATCCATTCCTCCGAGGCCGTTGCCAATATTCGAGCCCATAACGGCGCGCCTAGCTTATCTGCGTGGGTGCATCGAGAGGAAGCTCTGTTCGCAAAGTGGAAAAGCTTCCCAGGCTGGGGCTTCAGAGGGCGGGATGAGAAGAGCTTCACGCGCCTCGGGCTCACTGAGAGAAGCTGAGGCGTGTTCGTTTCCCGCCTAGCTTGTCTGGCAGCCCTTGTGCCACGTAATCGACTGTTATCGCTCAGCTCGTCTTGTTGAGGAGGTGACGATTCGCAGATGTTCAACAGAAGCTCTGGCGAATAGGTGTCCGTACGCTATGCTGTCGCTGGGATCTACTGCTAGACTAGCACGCCGGCCAATCAGAGGGCGCGGCTGTCGTGAGGCCGCAAGGCATCAACCTTTTTTCCGACCCCTGAGCGTGCAGCGCCATCTGATGGCGGGGTCTTTATAGACTCAGAAGCTGCACGATGGGCATTGCAGAGTTTCCATCGATGACGCGCCGTATAGCCTTGTAGGAGCGTGTTGCATATTTGATTACCTCAGCTCTCTTGTGAATCTGTCTTTGACAAATTCTTGTTTTAATTGCACCCTGCTGCTCTTTCTTCCATAGCCTAACTTGTATCTCCTCTATCTTACAGAGCACGGAGACCACACATGGATACTGCCATATAAAGCAAGACCCACATCTTTCAAGCATAAAACAACAACATACAAATGTCACATCTTGATCTAGTTCCTCACATTGACCAAGACATATTCAAACCAATTCTAAAGTCTTGACTTCAGCGTCTTGCCACCACTTTGATCCATACATCTTCCCAACCCCAATTCTATAGTATCGTCCATCACCCCGTTGCCGCACCATCAGCACCCAATATTGTCGAAGCTTCTTCGAAATGACCTTGCCAGTGCGCCTCTCAGCTTGCTCTTCTCGCCGTCCAATGCTCCCCATGAGAGCAAGACACAGAATCGACCCAGAAGTCGTATCTTCAGAGGCAAGGTCAAAGACGACCCATCCCATGGGAGAGTCACCTTGATCCAACATGAACTGAGCCATGGCCTTGGTTGATTTGGCATGAGACGATGTTATATCCGCGTATATTGCTTCAATAGTAGCATCTCCTTTCTTCAAGTCCAACGCTGTTGTTAGATTAGAAAGGTGCTTTGCTCGTACTTGAAGACTCATTCGCCTTGCGTCTTCGCCGTCCTCGAAAGCAATTGAGTCGCATAAATTCTTTGCTCTATCAATTGTCAAAAACCGCACTCCAGATGGAACATGCGCCCAAGTCCATGTTGGTAGCTTGAGAGGATCCGAAATAGCAGTCCCCTCTATCCCTCTGGTGACTTGCCAGAGTAATTGGTTGGGGAGAGACTCTTTCCATACGCCAAACGCATATTCACATGCAATCTTCTTGCCCAGCTCCCTCCGCAGACCCTCGAGCGCAATGAGTCTATCTGTTGGAAATGTCAACTGACGGTCGCTGTACTGCTCTATGATATTCTTCCAGCGCGTATTTCGTGATACACTGTAGCACCGCTCTCCAGTCTCGCGTTGAGTGATGGCCTTGCAGGACCAGATGATGGCTCCCTTGGTGAAGAAGACTATGCGCCGAGACAAAAGCCATTCTTGAGTAGCCCAGGCACGACTGTTGAGTGCTCCAAACTCGGGAAAGGTGTTGGTGGCAGTATCGCGCCGGACGGTTGCGAATACTTGTACTTTGGATGCAGCATCTGTCTCGTGAGAGAAGAAATTGGGGATCTCTACGGAGGGATGCGGTGGGCGACGGGCGAAAAAGAATCCCTCCCAGCAACCTGGAGTATGTGAAGCGGCAATGGTAATCTCTGCCCGCTCGTATATAGAGCCCATGCGTTTTGACTCCGTGAGCCAATCTTGATGGTCATCTTGCACGATACAGAGCGAGTCAATCCAGACATATTCCAGGCCAATATTGCGAGTGACTGTGATTGCATCTTGAAAAGTCTTTGGAATAGAATCCCAAGGAATATCGTAAAGATGCTCCTGGAGATTCGCCCGAGTTGTCTTCAGGGGTTGTCTCCCAGAAGAGCCCCAACAATGACTCAAGGTGGCATATCTCCCGCGCCGGCCTTCTGACGGCAGCAGCCTCACGCTGTTACCAGCAACATGGATCACTCTACTCGGTAGGTCTGGGAGTCGAGACTCGTCTAAGAGCGCCCCCGATAGAGTTTCCCGGCAACATGGATGATCCCTTTTACAAGCGCCCAGCCATCGTTCAACTAGGCAAAACGCCTCGGGGCTCGCTGGTCCTCGCAACTGAGGCCGGCCTACGATGTCATGACGGTGGCGAGGGCCTTTGCCTAGTCGCTAGCTGTAAGCTAAGAACGCCCTTGTCTTGTTCAATGATTTTGCTATGAAGCCCACATACGCTGGCCATGTGTGTAGAGCCGGATCTTGGCTTGCAATAATTGCCCAGTAATTGACTCGGTTGCAGTGACATTCAGCCCCGTCAAGTGCGAACCCCCGGTTGGCGGGTCAGGAAACGTCGATCCCTGAGAGTCCGACTTTGGCTCGACAACGACAGCTTCACGGGCTAGCAAGAGCGCCGCTACTGGACTGCCCTTGTCCTTGTTGACAGACGCCTGAAGGCTGCAGAGAAGCGCCTCTTGGACGAGGCCACAGAGTCGGCACCACGTTGCCGATTTGGCCAGGGAAGAACCGTCTTCGAGCAACACCATCCCTTCTTTCGCCCCCAGACGAGACGCCAGGCCAGCAGGCAGCTCTCGCTTCAGAGCGCTGAGCGAGACGGAGCTGCATCGGTCGCACAGCTCCAGCTCCATGATTCCCGCAAACGGCCAATAGCGCTTTCGCGGAGCTCAAGCCACCATGCTTCTATCAGATGCGCAAAGGATGTGTGGCTTCTGGCTTCTGGAGTGTCGTGCGATCGGCGATACTGAGTTGGAGGAAAAGAAAAACGTGACTAGAGCCAAGGACCGCGCTGCCCGTTGTGGCATGGCGGCCGCTAATTAACCTTGGCGGTTAGCCATGGCAGCCTCGTCTCTGGCTATCAATCTCGTGATGGCTTCCACGGTGGTGGTGTTGAGAGGACATCCCTGTCGGGTGGATGGCTTGATGACTATTCGAGATCTCTTGAGAGGTGAATTGGTTTCGACTCGAGTGAATGCAGTCACGCGGTGAGCTAGAGCAGCAGTTGGGTGCTCTCCAGAGCTATGAACTCTAGCCCATAATGCTACAGTCGTCTTCTCCAGCCAAACGTAATTTTTGCTTCTTCCTTCGGTTTTTTTTTTTCGCTTCAATCTCACTCCGATTATCGCGGGATTTTTTCCCTTTTTTACGCCGAACATAGAAAAGAGCTTATAGGCGAACCTGTTTTTCCTTTTCCTCTATCTCTCAACCGCCCGCAAAAGTGGAAACCCCCAGAACTCTCTTTTTGACAGCTCTAGAAGCTCAGAGAGCGCCCGACAGGCCATACATGTATAAACAATCATCACGTCAATGGCGCTGAAATCGAACTATCTGCATGTCAGCCCAGACCAGCTCCGGCTGTTTCGGAGGGCCCCAGATAGTTGCTTCGAAAAATCGTAGTATCCGGTTTCTAGGCTTAGTCCCTCTAGTAAAACCAAGCCATAACCTTATTTCTGTGATTGACGTTTGGAGAGCTTTACTTCTTTTTCTTACTGTGTGGGAACGAGAGCTGAGCTTTGGAAGCTTGGAGCTGGTAGCTACTTGGAAAGTGTCTGGTAGTTTTACACATGCCAGCTTGTTCAGAGTTTTCAGAGTTCTGACATGAAGGAGCACATCACAGCACATCACAAAGCCACTTAACGCACATTATTGTATCAATGCCATTGGGGTTGTTTTTTTTTCTTCTCGTTTTTTCGTTTTTGATTTTATTACAATATTACTCTGTCAACTAGGCATTAATACTAGCTAGTTACACTATTATGATTAATATATCTTGTTTATCAGTCAGGGTTTCTTGAAAGTGTCTGACGAGAAATTAACGGTTGGAGGTCCTCTCGACAGAGCCGTTTGGAAAATTAAAGTTGAAGCCTGAAGAAAACGTGAAGCTTGAGCAGCCAAAGATTTTTTTTTTCCCTTTTCGTAATTGAAGCTTCTTCATCCCGAATGAATGAATCAAAGGAAAAACTCTCACGCCACTCTCACACCTGGGTATCAAAATTAGAGAGGGCTCAGATCCATTCAAGCTTGGCGTAGATTAGACGGCGGCGGTGGTGGTTGGGGCGGCCATGTGGGTTTGCTGAGTTCCCATGTGCTCGCCTCCCATTTGCTGGGTTCCCAATTGCTGGCCTCCCATGTGCTGGCCTCCCATGTGATGAGTTCCCGTACCTGCGACAGGTGGAGGTGCAGTAGTACCGGTTTCTCCAGAAATGGTAGAATCAGGTCGCTCCTTGGTGTGGTGGTGATGCCTGGGCTCGTTGACGGCATTTCGTCGGTGAGCTCTAATGAGAAAGACTTCAATGAGCAGGTTGCACAGAATGAAGAAGCTAGAGGCAGATATCGTTAGTAAATACGAATACAAAGTTTTGGTTCGAGGCACCGTCAGCTTACAATCCAATGAAAAGCCATGCTTGAATTGCGTGCTTCTTGCTACAGTTGCCGGGGGCCGGGAACGAATTGCGGCATCGGTTGTGGCTCCAGCTCAGCGAGGCAAAGACGAATGCCACGAGCCAGAGGTAACTGAAGACGAGATGCAAAGGTGCCAAAATGCCTCCATATTTGGGGAGACATGGTGCAATCGCTCCAACAAGATAAACAACCATGGTAATGACAGCCTAGGGGATATGCGTTAGACGGTGTCAGATGATGGGTCGAGAGATGACAAGGGGGAGGTTTACAATAACTTCCATGTACACAATTCGTACATTTCGGTTCGAAAATTTTTGTAAAAGGTTACCGACAACGGCAGTGACAATAATGGCCGAAATAAACGTAAAGATATAGCAGACGAGCGAGCCCATCCGCAGTCCCATATTGGTGAGACCACCTAACGCCATCTTGAATGTGGTTTTTGGGCTGTTGTTTTTAACGATTAATCTTTTGGGGTATAGGGTATCTCAAACAACGAAACGTCTTCTAGCGATAGTGGAAAAAAAAGAAGAAAGGAAAACGAAGCACATGAGCTGTGGAAGCTTTTATATATATGAGATATCATTCATTCCAGCTCCCAATGGCGCCTCTGCCGGCTTCACCACACCATCTTACTCAACCTCACAAGCACAGTGCCGACTGAGCCGATGTCGATGAAAGGCGAAGAATGCCTGGCTTCAACAAGGTTTTGGCCATTATGAAGATAAGAGGAGGAAGCTAAAGGAGTCCAAGGCTGGCGTGGCGTGTTTAAGCCGGTGCTAGCACTGGTAATAGAGCAGCCGCTTGGACAGAGCTAGATGTAATGCTTACATTGGGCGCGGGAGAAGACAAAGCCACATCAATGCCGAGGAATCCTGACAGCAATGCGGCCTTTTGTCACAATGAGCGTTGGAAATCAAATTGCTTCGTTTTCTCTCTCTTCTACTTGAGCAAGGTGACTTCTCCACGGAGCTTTGCCGAAAGTGCTAGCCATGACGCCGTTGATCGGACACATGCCCTTCCCGTCTGCTCCGAGACGAAAGCCTGTCGTTCGGTAAGACGAGATTCCTCATAGTTGATTTGCTCCAGCAACTGAATAGTTGCTACTGAAAGCTTCATTGCATGAAAGTTCTTTTACCAAGATCGGCGTGCGGCTGGATCGGGAAGATCTGGAGAGGACGAGTTCGGGCATGTAGCCAGAGTTGGCAGTGAGCCGTAATACTTCGCTTGGAGTAGTTGTAATTTGTACCGTCTAGACGAGGACTGCCAAGCTTTATAATCATGAAGCAAGCGAAGCCTGCCAAGGCCCATGGCATTTGTTGATGAGCAGTGTTGAATTATGATGAGATGCGGGAGAGCATCACAAATCAAGGTAGCCATGGATGATGACATCACATAAACTTTAACTGCGGCCACAGAAACATGAAATAATCCAGTGTCTCAACCTTGAATGCCCGCGACAAAGAGATAATCTTATCATGTCATCTTTGCACCTAGGCACGTTTTATGAGTTTTTAAATTATCATTTAGTGTGGAATTATCGTGGCTTTACCACGTTGTTTCTCTAACCGTTCACCAGGAAAGTAAACACCTTTTTACACCGTGATTTTGAACTTGTCCAAATTGAAGCTAGCCCCATATCAGTTACATCTACCCATGGTGTTGAGACAAATTCAGATACTAAGCTACAGGGGTGAGCGAAGATGTCATTATATATTCAAGAATGTTATGGGATTCTCCAACGGTAGCATTATGCTGCATCAAATACAGCCTTGATGGTGAGATGTGGAGGAAATAAGATGATTTAATGTTGGCAGCTTGAACTCTGATATTTTTAATTAATGCATGCAATTCGTGCTCACTTGGCTGCTCATGTAGTTGAATAGTACCATTCAAACGTCAATCTTTGGCAGTTCGTTTACATGTGGAGAGCCTCCATACATATGCACGCCTGCCGTCCACTACTAGTACTACTAGTAGTATTCATGTTACTGTAGGTACTCCACCATTCCCTCTAGCTCTGCAGCCGAATCGGCAGAAGTGGAGTTGTCCCGGGCTGCATATCGTGGAGTGAATTGAGCCAGCGTCAGGGAAATGTTGCAAAGGTCAACTGGTGCTTTTTATTTCCAACAGAGGTGTGCGCACCTACTGCCACCGAGATACACTTGATGTACTTAACTCACCGTCAGCCCAGTGTATACTAGTAGTCATTTATAGGCTACAGCGTGCCAGGCGTTACAAACAGCTCAACTGCCACCCAGCGAATTCAATTCAACGCTCAAGGCGCTTGGGCGCTACAAACGGCGATCAGGTGCCCCGCTATAAGTTTGGTTCCTAGGGACATGCTCCTAGAATTGTTTTTGAACGCAACTCAACTGGATCGTCAACTTTCATCGCACATCATGGGTGAATCCATCACACCACAGCCTAACAAAGGCATTGGAATACCATCATCAACCCCATCGACACCCGCCACCTCATCTCTTTACGGAATTATCCGGCGTCATTGCCGAGAAAGGCTCATTGTTCGACCACTTCTCTGGACCAACCTTCACCTCGAGCTACTGCAAATCACCTTTGATGAACCCACTCTTGCTCCGAAAACAAACCGGCTAGATTATTACAGCAAACGTCGGTCCCAATTTGTTGGAAAACGAGTTATGAGAAGCTATTTGCAGAGATTTGATTTGCTCGAATACCGAGAAAAGTGTATCCGAGCCTTGTTCTGCGGGTTTGATTCTCCATTTACGTCCGACTCGTTCATTACCCTCTCCTTGTCTATTTCCACAAAGTCTTCCACACAGCCAACTGACCATTAAATATTCTATAGTAAAGCCCTTTTCATCAGATTGGATTTGTTCGCCGGACAAGCAACATGCGAAGGCATCGAACTACGCAAAGCAGGTACTGAGTGGCCGGATGTGAAATATCCAGAGTATTCCGTTTGCGCATATATTGATAGCGTACGCATCGAAGAATGGCGAAGAGAGTCTCTGCATCTTGACCTGTGCAGCCCCCACAATGCTCCCGTCTACGCGATGCTTTGCAAAAAGTTGAAAAAGCTCAGGCCCACACATCCGTTAAAAGACCCATATATAGCAGGGCTTTTGATTGCTGAAGCACAATACCGGAGGTTAGTTCTCGATGTAGAAAATCCAGACGACTTGCCTCCATTAGAAATGTATCCCGTATGTATTTCAGGAATGCTATAGTGTGACAAAAAGGTGCTAATAGTGGCTCAGACACAAGTTTTGTACTCGCTCGAGAATCAAAGTAGCGTATATCTTTACAAGGCGGATATACCATCGTTATTTCTGGACATGTTTGATCATCCTACTATTGCGCCACCAGGATCACCACAGATTTCGATCCAAGTTTTCGAGATTCTCCGCGAGCCAGTTGATACGTTTCGTGATCGCATTTTGGCACTGGTGCTTCCGAATACTCTTGATCGTCCATTGGGAATGGGAGATACCCTCAAAAGAAAGAGGAGCTGATCGCAAAGCCTGCTCTTGAAACATATGTCACCAATAATTTGTAAATTACCTATGATTTGTATAAGCATATACTTGTAGGAGTATTTCAGTGAGCATCTCGAAGAAGGGAATCAGCATGGAGGTGTACTACGCACTCCTGCCTTTCGAAACGTACGGCATTTTGAAATCTTACGATAGAGTTCGTAGAAGCGTATTGTTAGTAGAGTAGTATGTAACTCGCTCTAATTTTCGCGCCTCGATATTCTCGTCACTTTTCTTGCACTAGACTGCAAAGTATAAGTAGGTAACCAGAAAAGAGACTGGTACACAAGCTGGACTACGTTTTAACATGCCCGAGAGTGGAAATGCGATATAATTACTACTTCGTTACAGGTTTAATCAAGGAAATGTATTGCCGTCTAGTACATAGTTGGCTCCCTGGCTGAGGAAGAATTTGTCAACACCTCACTGGGGTATATAATGAATCAAAGTGCGCCAGAGAGAAGTAGAAGCCACTTGGGTGATAGTGCGCAATTCAGACAGATCAAAAGGAGAAGAAAGCACAAATGTTGTATTTCTTGTCAGAGCGTATAGCATCCCATTATTCTAGACACTTCCACCCTGCTCTATTATCAAATTCGAGTCAATGCAGTGAATCATTGCTGCAGACCCACTAGACGATGCAATGCAGATGCACCTTTCGTTTGAATAAGAAAACAATAGACACTTTGATAGCCCACTTTTGAATGCAAACTATGAGATCCCCCAATTCACCCTCGACTCACTTCTATCTAGAAATCTTTTTTCTGCCTGCACATTCCCTCGCCACTTCGTCAAACGACTTCTACACTTCCTACGTGTTTGTCCTGCTCGTGGACGGGATTATCATCAGGATAAAACAAAATATCCATTCACGATTGTGCGCACCCTTTGCTTTCCTATAATTTCAATGTGACCCGTTGTTTCCTTACTGACTCTGGCTATAGGCCTCACCAAAAGCGTTTTACGATGACTTATGAAACAAGCATACAGAATGAGTCCCAGTTTTGACAAGGGGCCAGGGGCAGAAGAAACTTCAGTCAGCTCTATCAAGACCGAACTTGGAAGCCTGGAGCCAGCAACTGGGGAACACCAGAGCTATTTGCTGCAAGAGCAATTTGTATGCCAGAAAGATCACTTATGACGCCGTTATCAGGCTTTTACTCGGATATATTTAATTTCGACAACGCTGATCCAAATATTGCGTCCTTCTATGTCGGATACGAGAATATCGATGATTTGGCCTGGCAATCCGAACTAGAATTAGTTCAGACGATTGAATCAAGCAGCCTTGGTGGCATCTGGGCGGCACTGGGTGTCTTTCTTAGAAGAGAACAGTTTGCACTGAATATTTACGGCCCCAACCAAGTCCCGGCTGGTCCCTCTAGGCCACCCCGACAAGCAGCCCGTCAAGCACAACAAAACACTCACATCATCCAGACGCAGGCTTCAAGACGTCGACCTCAAGATTCAACTAGGCCAGCTCATCAATCGACCTCAGAGTCTCACCAATCAGCCTCAGCAGTAGTAGCAGTAGTAGCAGTAGTAGCAGTAGTAGCAGTAGTAGCAGTAGTAGCAGTAGTAGCAGTAGTAGCAGTAGTAGCAGTAGTAGCAGTAGTAGCAGTAGTAGCAGTAGTAGCAGTAGTA